TGGATACATGAAAATATACTTGAAGAAAATTTTGAAATAAAACTCTTTGAAATTTCTATTCAAGATGAGTAAATAGACTCTTAACAAACTTTTGTCATCTTTTCTTGATCGCGCCAGCCTTCACGAAAGTACATTGTAATAAGGATGAATATTCAAGGTTGTTCACAGGCGGGAGTGCTTGGAGATGTGTCACAGTGAACTTCAAGAAATTTGTCCTATCAGACGAAAAAAATAGAAATAGTAAAATGAACTTAAATTTTTTACTTGAAAGTCGTATACGGTTAATATCAAGAGACCGATCTTCTCCTCGAGGATCTCCTTCGACCTTTCTCAAGAGTTTGTCGTCAAAGTCAAATCTAATATAAGAACTCGAGGCCTACCATGATGGAACCATGGTCGCTCATTAGCGTAGTTACAAGTCCTCGCTCTCCACTTGTGACCGTATACATAATTCAGTCGCAGAAGAATCTTTGGATTTTTTCTAGAAAAATTCCACGTGGAACATATATTTACATAAAGCGATCGTAGCAACCAGTTCAATGAAATAGGAAAGATGGCAGTCACAGCATTTATATACATATATACACTGTGTCGTTAATGCCTGGGTCTCTAAACCTATTTTTGTCTCTGTCCCACTCATGTAATTTAAATGGACAAACTCAATCGGTAAGTCCAGGCATTAATGACGCTGACTGTACATAGTACTAAGAAATGATGTTTCATTGAACATAATTTTCTGCATAGATAAACTTCTTATATAGTAGTTATAAATATAGTACAACATACCTTCCTCATCAAGAATATCATTGTCCATGGTAAGACTGAAATTACTTCATACTTATATTGTATCCAAATCCGGATTCCATTATACCAGGATCACGGACTGCAGGTTGTAATTTTATCCCATTGCTGTATTTAGGTGCACAGCTATTACACTTATTATAAAATAATTTTACTTGCAGTGGAAATGAACATTTGTGGAGTATATACTTTGTTTCTATAGAGAGCGATCAACCGAATACTTCTGTCATTCACAGACCACGGAGTAACTGATCTAACCTAGAAAACAAACGTGCATAGATTTTTCAGAATCAGTATCCAATCAAGTGGGAAAACCAATCAGAGAGTTTTCTTAATGTTATACCTTTTTAGGAGTCATAATAAAGAAAAAGTTATTAATATATCGTACGATTATCAAGCAGATGCGGGTAGTAGATTCTTATAAAGTAGCATAAACGAAATCGATTATTTATTTACATGAGCTGCTGATAATCGTGTTATATCCAGAACGTCACGTCTTATCTTGGTGAAAGTTAAGCAACTCGTCTTCAAGGTCAGGCACTTGATTGTGAGAAACTGTTATAGCGATACCAACAGATGATTCAAGTAACGTAACATAACATTCCTTTGACATTTTGTATATTTGGTCATGAGCTTTGATAGTTTTAGTTTAGTCTTTACACCATAACTTTTCTTTTAAATACTATTTATAAAAGGATCACAATAGCCGGCAGCCAATATAACCTGCCGTAAATCAAGAACAGCATTCAAAGAAGCATTAAGCCAATAAGGACAGCGGGAAATTCAAAGTGGTTCTAAGACATAAAAGTCTTGTTTAAAGCACCAAGAAGATATCGGTAAACAGGTCCTGTGTATTTTTCGTTTTATTGACAATATATGGCATTTCAATCCTTCCAGAACTTCTATGTTGATTCCAGCATATTTTCTGGATGCTAAAAAATAAGAACAGTCTTAATGATTACAGGCCTGTGTCCAGGATGCTAGAACTTGGATCGAGAAATTGGACAGAGTTTTAGTTTCTAAGTTTATATACTTGGATAAGTTTAGGTAGTGTCAAAGTCGCCTATAAGAAATCAGAAGTATTTAGCCTGCTGCCAATACAAGTAGTGTATGTACGAACAGTGTTAATTTGAGGTTAGCATTCGCATATGACCAAAATGTATGTGGTTAAGATTGACTACCTGGAATAACTATGACATATATATAGCTACTAATACGAACAAATAGGACTCGAGGCGTTTTTTTGACAGAGTTTTTCGTCAAATTTTTTCATTCAAGCAGCCTGTGTCCACGATACTAGTTCCAGTTATTTTTCTTCGGTCCGAGTTCTCGAATCGTGGACACAGGACTTAACGGTACGTTTAATGACAATTGATTAAGCACGAAAAATGTTCAATTATAGATAATTTAGTAAACCCTGAAACGATGACTAAAAAATTATATCTTTTACAGAGTAAACTGTTCGCAATTCTACAATGGTGGCTTTTACTCCATGACAACCGGATGTTGACCGAGTTAACTAGGCAAACATCGATCTGAATGGTTGATTTCGAAATTCCATCGACTCCTCGACATAACATGAGATCGGGAGCGAAATAGAAAAAGGATTTGGATCATATGAGTCACGTAATCGCTGAGGTATTACTTTAATCAAAACATCTCAAGAGTCAGATGCTGTTCGTGAAATTTATGCGATGGTCGCATTGGAATAATAATGACAACTACAAGAGGAGATATAAATAACAGTGCCACGTTGAGATAGGTCCGTGTGTATTAACTGTTCCAGCAGCCGAATGGAAAACATGCATAGGATATGTTACGCGTAACGTGCTGATTATCTCTTATCAATGAGAGATTACGGAAAAGAATTTCTCTAAAAGAAAGTTGTAGCTCTTAGAAAAAAACAGATACTGTTTCCTATTTATCTGTTCCAAGTATCATTAGTCTCTTCAATTGAAATTGAACAGAATATAAATTTTTTATGTTACATAGGTATAATGTGCTTAATTTTTCCTCTCAGGATTATAATTTTTTACAATCCCAGAAATAGGTGTAATGAATTTGATATTTTATCGTACATAACAGGATACAATTCGATCGATATATCGGTAGGATACTCGCATAGTCGATTACGTCTTTCTCTGGTGGGAGAAAGCCAACGTGCTTGACTGTTAGGTCAGTATTACATGGAACGCGTAATCCTGTGAATAAACTGTATACGTAATCCTGAGAATGAATACGAGTAAATAAACATGCAGAGAGAGATAGATCGTTAAAATGAATAGGAGCATTAAATAAAATTTATGTTTTAAAAAAAATGAAAATGAAATAAGATTCATAATATCTATACATATAGACATTTATTAATGTGTTTTTCTTTACATTGTAATAAATCTTTAGTAAGTAGATACTGACTGATATCTTGAATTTGGTTTTCCAGTAAAACGTTTAGACAAGACTTTCTGCGGATTACTTAATTCTTTGAAGAACAGTGGCTTATTCCCAGGCCTTCGGTCCATGATGAATTGCTGTCCTTCAATGGGAAATACCAGTTTTATCCGTTTGAACTGGCAGATTATTCACTGTGAGAAAACAGTTATTCTTGGTGAGTTGTTAGTTAAGAGTTAAGATAAAAATACAATGCTGGCACTTTTGACAATTGGTTTTATTACACAGTATACGGCTGTCTCTTGCATATTTAATGTAAGATTAGGGAAACAAAGGTGGGACTGTTTGTATAAATTTGTTGCGATTATAAATTTATTTAACGACTAATGGGGTAGCAAATCTTTCAGTCCTGCGAGGTCGTCGACTCCCTTCTGATGTCATTACAGGAAGAAAAATAATATGATCATAGACAGACGAATAATCAAAACAGGTTTTCTGATCAGCGAAACACGAAATTTATAGCTTTAATAACCACACGTTAAAAATTCCGAGATCTAGGCTAAGTTGAAAAATTTTATTTTTAATTGCGCAATACAAACGAGTTACACGTATGCTGCCCAAAAAAAATAAAAACACAGATGGACGGTGGGTGTTCATGGGACTCTTGAAGTATACTAGTCCACATAGAAGATGGCCCCTGGATCTAACGTCTGAGAAAGGTCGTGCGACCTCACAAAGGAACAGGAATTAGGTATTCGAATTTATTTGATGTGGTATTAAAAAGCGAAAGCTGTCACGAGGATGGATATACCATAACTGCACATTTACGTAATGACAAAAACGCGTCAAGCCTAGCATGCGAATTTAACAAAGATGGAATTGCTATTTGAAGTTAAGATAACAGTTTAATCTCAGAATTATTATTATTATCGAATACCACGTGACCTAAGAATCAATGTAATATTTATGTTTCTCCAGTGGAAAAAAAAAATAAACAACAAAATGACAATTCTGAAATAATTCTTTTTTCATTTCAGAAGAAAATATCTTTCATTGCTCTTGTACCTGAGAATGAATATGCAGAAGAAGAAAAATACAAGCAACAATGTATCAAGCATTAGTTCCACATAGAGAAACTCATGAATGCTCAGAAAAAAATGAACGGAAACTGCTTTGCCAGGCTGCCCGAGTTCTCACTACCATGCAGACGTTAAGCATGGGTCCCAATGGGCCTGTAAACAACTATATATATAATGACACTGAAGGGAACTAGTGTAAATAGATAATGATAACAAACAAAATGCTGTCAATGACATCGGTTACGATTTTCTAGGCTGGCCAGTAATTATCGTTCCTATGCTAATTGTCTTGGTTGATACCAGTCGCATTCTTACACTCTCATCTGCCCCACAATTGCATAGATGAGCGTCAGTGTACTAATGATTATGAAATACATTTTTTAGGAAATGGGAGCATCATGAGGATTTTTTGATAACGTCAAAGAAAAAGGATGTAAGGAAGAAAAGGGCAGTTTTCTTAATGAGGGACTCCGAGTAGAGGTTATGAAGTGATGCTGTAACAGAAGGATAGGCGATGGACCAGTCGTGGAGGAATGAGATTTTGAAGCAGAGGCTCATCAAGGAATAGACCTGGAAGAGGATCGAATGGAGTAGTTGGTACTAAATTCTAATTACCTAGAGGAATGATGAGTATAAGGTCGAGGGATTGGAAGGAGGTTGGTGGTCATTGGATCCGCTGGCACGTGATCCTGAAGATCTTTGGGTCTGTAGGCCCCCAGGGTGGGATCGCACCTCCTGGTTAATAAGTGGTGGGGATTATTTCTATATAACCGCTGGTATAGCTGCCCGTCTCTCCATATTCTATCTGTCACTACAATTCTTTAAGCATCGAACTCTCCGTTTACGTCTTTTGTGGAACCAAGGTAAGTTTTCAATCGACCTGTAAAGTAATAATAATCATTATTATCGTATTCCTAGCACCTGCTAATATTTGCTTATCTAGCGACTGCGATTATTTATTGTGAAGTTTATTGAATTTTTATTGAATTGTAAATTGATTTTTCTCTTTATTATTTCGCTTTCATTTTGTAATTTTGGTTTTCGACTTTGTTAATGTAATCTTCACATGGTCGCAAGACACGTACGTGCGTTTAGTTGCAGTTTCTTGATATTGAGTAAATTGTGAAAAATTTGTGCGTTGATGATATTAAAAAAAAAATGTCAATGACTTATAATTATTGAAGCTTAATTACTGGTGGCAATATACCTATACAAGACATAATTTAACAAGTTAATTGATATGTTTTAGCATAATTTTTTTTTAACTTACATGCCTAATTTGTACTGTATGGGCATTGGCAATTCGCAGAAGAACAGTTGATATTGTGACATCGTAATTGATGACCCCATAATTTTTGTCCATTTTCTCTTTTGGATGCTGTGAAATGTTAAATTTACATTAATATTTGCATCTTCATCCGACATATCTTTATGTGTTCATTTGCATTGAAATTGCCGGCGGGTTAATAAAGGTGACGATAATGGCGACAGTATTAGGACTATTCAAGTGGAATGAGAAATTAAAATTATTAATAAAAAAAAAGTTAGAGCACGGGCTGGACCATTACGATCAATAGAGATAAATTAGACAAACGTATAATTTCATAAAAAATGATTATATCACAGTGTTAAGTATTTATGTTAATTATAAAGTCAGTACCTTTTCATAAGCAAAAATGGTCGACCTTTAATTCGACGAATTGTCAGCAAGCATTACTTTCACTTTCAGTGCTTGCAAGAAAACTCCATGTGACGTTAATGAAAGAATCATTAAATTTTCAGATGAGCCTGCTGTCATTGGCCGTGGTGGTGACGGTGCTCGCAGCAGTGGCGACTGCCGAACCCGCGATTAACGAAGCTCGGCCAAACAGTAACCGACCTGGAAGATTTCTCACGTTGCCGATAGCCCAAAAATGTGCAAACCGTACGTAATTACATAACAGATAAAATTTTATCAAATTTGGTAAACGCGAGTGACGAATACTATCGTTTGAATGTATCTGATACGGGTCTGTGTTATTGTCAAAGGATCAAGTCACTATAAAACCCCTAGCCGACCAAAAAAGGCGTCTAGTATGAAGAGAAAGAATTTATCTAATTTTTTAAAAAACGTTTGACACGGTTATAAAATTATTTGATTTAAGTTTTTCGAATAGCAAAAATGTTTTATTGATGAGAATCGAGCCGAAGTTTTCGCGCTCGTGCGACATCATTATTATTCGGTAGAGTTCTCGAAGCGTTTGGTAAGTCCCCATATATTTGACGATAGCAGCGCCATTGACATACGTGGTGCGTAACGCCGAAAAACTTTCATCGCCAGACGCGTTTTGTATTTGTGCGTCGAATACTTCGACGAGACGTTGCACTTTCACGCCCGTAATTCCTCCGGAAAAAAGACACAAGAAACGAGGTCAAAGAGATGAACGAGAAGAGTATCGTATTACCATTAAGGAATTACCTTCCGCAGTCTTTGGCGCTCTGCATTTCATTAACCTCCTAACCTTTTTTACCCAGCTATGAAAACGAGTCCATTGAACACTAACCTAAAGTACGATTACGACGAAGTATTCGGATAAGACCGTAAATGCTACTGATACCAGTAAAACAATGATTACCAAAAGCATTGATCAAATACTTAATTAGTGTCATTGATAACAAGAGAGATTAAAGCTCGTACGAAATGCGTCCTGACAATTACGGCAATAGTATTGGTGTAATTAATTCCAGATAGAATAATAATAACAGTAAGGATCGCATCTCACAAGAATACAGGTACAATTGCATTGCGTTGTTCAACGATGCCAAAGTAAATGTGGATGCACACTTTCTAATGCGTCAGCCACATGTGCCCCTTCCGCCTGACCTATTCACTGTATGTCCCTTCGTTATAACTTACCAGGATTCTCACTTAGTGGCTCCATTATTCAATTATCCGAACCAGCATCGTCGGTTAGCACTTTTGCGTCACAAAAACAAAGGTATAAAATATACCTTCGTAAAAAATAACATGAGCCGAATAAACGCGTCTTGGGAAATAGCCTTAATCTCGGGTATGGTGAAACTGCAACAGAAAAAAAATTGTAAAGTTACCTACAAGATATTTAAAAAAAGAAACAACGTATCTCATTAGAATAGTCAGTCTCGTACAACATAGAATATAACACAGGAGAATCGTAACGTATATGCAATTGCGTAATACTTACTAGAAGAAAAAAGAATTTGACTTTTTCTGTTGTCATATTCAAAACACGACACTCCAATAGGCAATGGGATACGTACTGACGTAATAGCAATTTCACGGCTGGTAAATCGTAAACCGAATAGTTGAAAAGCGTTCGTAGACTTGGTAAACTTCGTAGACGAGGTCGAGCATCAGGTCGAAGTGAAAGACGAGATTCCTCCTGTAGGAGGCTCGTCGTAATCGTGGTCGTGGTCGTGCAGTTTAATCGGGATTACGAAAGCAAAAGTGCAAGTGGCAAGTAACACGTTCTGGCGCTAATAAGACTCCTTCTTGTCTGTAACGTGTGGCTGACCAGACGGCTGTTGCAATGAGATAAGTTTACAAAAGGCTGTTGCTGTTGCTATTGCTGCTGGCTGCTGTCTACGCTGCCTTGTTGCTATGAAAATGTCAGGAACGATTGCGCCACTGCGATCCTTCTCGGTACTACTATCTTCTTTAGCATGCTACTCGAGTTAGGATTGGTTAAAGTAGCAACTTGAAGCCGTGAGAATTTACATAGTGGATAAAAACACTCTTGTTGGTATTTATAGTATATATAATATGTATACTATGGCGTGCATATATATATACTAGTCTATTTACTAAATAAGTAAGTACACTGAGTCTATTACGGTTTCAAGAGGATAGAAAACGTCCAAGAATATTTTAGGTTATGGCGAATGTAAACCTCATAACGAAGCATCCTGTACGTAACTACTTTTTGCATAATTTGTTGTATATATCTAAGAAGGATATAAATATATAAGTAACGTAATATTAGTTTATACATAGATGACTGGAAATTGTGACAAAATCTGTTGATCTTTTATTTAACTATCTCGTTACGTAACCTCACGTATTCAGAGGCCCTTTTGTTTTATTTCTGCGTTACTAAGTACCTTGTGACTAGTGCTCGAAACAGTATTTTAATACCTGTCGATAAAATTTGAGTGTTGGATGAACGTAATTGCCGGTTGTCTTGAAAAAGAATTTTGGCCTTCATGAGATACGTTGGCGCATGCAGTTAACCCGTTGACCTCTCGAAGGAAAGAAAAAGAAATTTCACCTTTAAATTATGCCTGACGTTTGGTTTTGATGTTTTAGCGTTGGCAAAGAGTAGATTTCCTTTTCTCTGGAATTCTCCGTGATTTGAAAAATATTGAGCGCGTCAATGGCAATTTCGTGATTATATAATTGAATATATAGAAAACAGAAATATAAAAATTCGAACGTGTATAATGAAACTATTTTATACACTATTGCCAATAAATTCTATAGTTGGTAGTAATATTTTCTAATGACTGTCTGATGCTCTGTGTTTAAAGTATAATAAGGCACCATCGACTCTTCCTATGTTTAGCGAACCGTGTAGATTCGTGCATGGAAAACGTGCTTGTAATCGAGCGTGACAAAGATTTTAATGCATAGATAGTATATATGTGCATATGTACAGTATAGGATGATGAATTTCATAAGGATTAAAGGATGTGTATCGCAATGGATTTCGTAATTCCAAGTTTTATCGCTACCATCAGACATAGATCTAAGCCAGACAAGGATAAAGACATAGGTAGGGATCGTAACGGCCGAAGCTAGGCCTCCTTTGGCTTCTAAGTAAACCGTACATTATCACATTATAACAGCCCTAATTCCGTTTGCAGTCGACTTCAGATATCGATAGAATTCCATGCTTCAGCTTAGGACCCAACGTAAACAACAGAAAAGCTGGACAATTCGTCCGGTGTAAACCGACCTAGATTCAAACGCACAGCGGAAACCAGGGACAACGTAGCTCGTTTGACAGAACCGGAAGTTACTGTTGCCCGTAGAAACAGTCGGCTTTGAATTGTATAAGACTAGTAGTCGTACGATACTACTAGTAGTATTCGCATAATGCTACTAGTCGCTTATGTTAACCACTAGACTATACCGTGAGTAAAAAAAGGGGAGAGAGAAATGCAATATGCGGATGAAAAATCTCGTAAAGAGATAATGGATCCTAGATGCACGAAGATGCATCTCAGGGAAACTTAACTCATTATTACTTCAATCTTAAGACACAATTCTCCTAAGAGTAATTGCCATAAATTATCGACTTTCGTGTTCGTCTCTTTGAAAGTCAGGACAAAATCAGGATATAATTACTCACTTTCGTTTTCTCTTGAGAAATTATATCGATATTGAATTTATATAGGACAATTATATTTGCCGTGTCGGACAGAGAAGTATAAATAGAAAAAAGAAACAAACCAGAATGAAAAATGTAACCGCAAGGACCACGGACGTCCTTTCATCCATTCATTTAAATTTATATTTTTATTCCCGCTGAGATCAATGAGTTAAAGTGGACCTCACGATCTGTTCGATATAACTGTTATGTAACTGTTTTAATCGTGAACGTTTACCATTCGATCTATGATCTACGATCGGCAGATTTACGGATCACGTGCGAGTAATTTATTGTATCGTATAATGGGCATTCTAAATATGCACGTAACGCGTGATGGATATACAGTCTCTGATTTGAGTAAAGTAGTACCTTTGACAGTTACGTCAGACGAGGGAATTTGAATGATGCGCAGAACAATGAAATTTTTTTCAAATAATCTTGTCAAATATTTGAATCGATCTAGAGCGATAATTTATGACGAATAAATAACGTAATAATTTACAAGATTTTTTAAAAATTCAGACAGCCAAAATAATATTGCGTAACGTCGTTGCTCCGTTGCTTAACTTTCAATGAGTCGATGCATCCTCGGTCATCAAGATTCGATCGCTCGATAGAAATGATTGATTCGTCATTCGATACATGGAAAGAAGATTCGAGCAATGTTGCCTTTTTTATTGGCCGTTTGGCAAGTTACCATACTTGGATTGATTTTTTCTTCCGTTTGACTTGTCCAAATCGATGTTCAGATGTCCAAGATTTTGTTGTAGAGCCTGTGTATTATATGTAGATAAAAGCAAATCGTTATCCCACGAGGTAGTAATGAATTTTTATGAAACTTGTTACAGGACCAAAGGAATTTAACTTCAAGGGCCATAACTATTTCTACAGTGGACACGTGCCAGCCCATGCGAACCAAAAGGTCGACTGGTTGGACGCCAGGAACATCTGTAGGGAATACTGCATGGACCTTGTGTCTCTTGAGACTCAAGAAGAAAACAATCTTATATTCAGATTGATCCAACAGAGTAAGTTTGGCGATGGCTATATAGGCTATCTTTGATTTTCTCTCACGTTTTGCAATGATAATTATTCCTATGCGCATAATCATAATAATACATGCTGCTTTCTCCAGCATGATATAGCTTTGTATACACAAGTGACATTTTAACGCATAATCGTTACTATGAAAATGTTGTTCTCTACTGATAATGCTGTCTGCACATAGCTACCTGCTTGTCGAAGTCCTTCAGAGAATATGAAACGCTCTGTACATAAAGGAAAGAGTGCGAAAATATTATGCAGACATCTGAGTATTACAGGAAGTGTAAAGTGATACAATGTTTGTTTATGCGAACACTTATCGAAGCAAAAGACCAGCAGAGAATATTGATTAACTACAAACTTGTTTAAATATTAATACAAGCCACGTGTTGACTGTCCAATGATTTTGATGATTTAACAATGGTCCAAAAATCACCATGAAGATTGAAGCAGTGCTCAATAACGAAGAAACCAAAATTAGAATCAAACAAAAGATGAAATCTTATGAGAGGAAGTAAGAGAATCAAGGAAATCTGAAAACAAGAAACCAACAAGACTGAAAAAGATGTATACTGCCTCTTAATTATCTTCAGCCAGTCTCATTGTTTTATCCATTCCTGACTGGCACAAAGAGTCAATGTACATAAGATAATGGTTTTAGAAAGTTTTCCATTTTGAAAAAGAAAAAGATGAGGTCGGTAGTCAATTGTCAACATCAACATTGTCGACTCGTAAAAGAACCATGCAAGATGCAACTTTCGTCCCTCGTGTGGTCACGAGGACCTAGAAGTTGCGAAAGGATTGACCTGGCACAAATACTTTTATGCTTGTTGATTAATCATCCTGATACTATGAATCCGCTATCTTAACTGTCGTATTCATAATCAGTACCTACGTGAAAAGAAAAAAAGAAGCGAAACACATGTAACAGTAAATTGTGACGTGTAAAGGTAGAATGAAATTCTACGAACCTTCAAGTATAATTATTTATCTTGAATCAAATTGAAAGATTCGACGTCGCACAGTCTGACAGTCTTGAGAGGAGGAAAAGTAAGATTTCACAAGGATATAAGACAAATGTGACAAGCTACGTGGAAGATGCGTTACAGGTGTAACGCCGGTGGGTGTAACGGCGTAGCTCCAAGGCGACGGAGTCTTTAAAGTGGGTTGAGGTTAGAGAGTTGCTTTGTGTATAATGGAGAAGCTTAAAGTGTGTGTACTTCTTCGCGCATACCGACGGATTCAACGACCAAGGTGAAAACAATTTTATGCGCGAATCATTTTGCCGCATAACTTTCCTGGTGAAATTTTATGGAGATGTACAGTGGCTCTTGAGAGCTATAGGTTGGACCGGCGCCTTGTATACGGACTATATATTGCATGTTTCGTTCTTGTCAGCCATTTGTATTGAAGTATTGTCAAAACAAAGTGAATTCGATGGATTGATGGTTCATGACACTTTTTAAAAATATTATTTGTGCTTCGCAGATGATGTACCCTACATCTGGACATCGGGACGTCTCTGTGACTTCAAAGGCTGCGAGAACCGTCGTGATCTTGAACCCAAGTCTCTTTACGGTTGGTTCTGGTCAGCGAATCGCGAGAAGATGTCACCTACCAATCAGGTTCCTAATGGCTGGGGTTACAATCCTTGGTCTCAGACTGGTCACAAGAAGATTCGTCAACCTGATAATGCTGAGTTTGATATCAATGGCACCAACGAGTCTTGTCTTTCTGTCTTGAACAACGTTTATAACGATGGCATCGCCTGGCACGACGTTGCTTGTTATCACGAAAAGCCTTTTGTCTGTGAGGATTCCGAAGAGCTTCTGAATTACGTTGCCAGTACTAATCGCGGAATTCGTCTTTGAATAAATCAATCATTATTTTTTTAATCCTTAATCTTCTTTTATATCATGATTCAACCCGACATGTCAAACTTATAATCTTTCTTAGAGAAAACATTCCTACCCCTTTTTCTACCCTTACTCTTATAAGCTTATTCACCAGTTCTTAATGTTTCTGGACAGTAGGATAATAGGGCACGTCCAATTACAATGGAAGACGTACTATAATCTTCTTGGGTTTCATGTCTTGGATTACTAGTTTTTTCTGAGGAACTTTTGTTATATTCTAAGTGACGAAGGGATTCTAACAGACTGATTTGACTTGTCACTATAGAGCCTCCTCTAGTGATTGAAGTTTATGTATTGTGTTCATATAAAGGTCTCTTGGATTTTTTGAATGGCCCTTTTGAATTGTTAGTGATAAATATGAGTGACCAGAAAATGGTATTGAGATTTAAGTGAATATTCACGAATGTCAGGATTCTTGGTTGGATGATGACAATGACTATCTTATACAATATCGAGCACGTTTATGATAAGAAAGTTTTCAGTAGCAACGCATGTGCCCTAATCGTTCTACGGAAATTCAATGGTCTTTTTTGTATGTCATTTAAATTGTAATCATCAGAATTGATAACGATTAGCATTATATACATATATTTATGGATACCAATTTTTTTATTCGTCTATGTACATCTCCGAATAAATTGTGTCGTAGAGGTTTATCTCAGATCGAAAATAATTGTAATTACAGTTTCTTCTTTCTTTAATAACAAATTTCTGTATTTAAGAATGCTCAATTATGTCTTGCATTAAACCGTATACAAAGAATGAAGGTCATTTTAATTGAGATACCAAGATTACATGAGGATCACAAGAGTTAAGTGACCTTTGAACTTGTACCTGGTTCGTCCAAGTTCGTACAATTTTCCCATTCTTCGTCAGATCCCTGAGGAACGACTTCCATGTGAATGGAGGAGGAACTGGGATTTAATAATTTACTTTTCTTCGATTTTCTAGTTAGTAGCACATTCCTCTTGACTTTACCACCGAACCTTCGTTTCCTGGGTAATGATGTTGGATCTGTAAAACAAAAATTTGTTGCTATATAATAGAATCTGTCATGGCATAAATAGACGGTTAAAATGTTATTAAAAAATGTAATCTATATTGAAAAAAAACGCGTTAATATCATATATTACTAACGATCTTCAGGAATGTTCATTTTCTTTCTAAGTACGACGCGAACTTGTTTATTGATGATTTCCCTGCATTGATCATCGAAACCATTTGGTAGCCATCCCATTTTTTCATGACACTTTGTACCTGGTGGTGGATCCGGTAACTTGGCCAGCATTTCCTGTACTTCGTCCACGAGAACATCGCAATACTAATTGATAAAAAAAAATAATAGCCATCATTGTTTAAAGTTTGAAAAAAGTCGTTAGGCAGTCGTTAAGAAATCTTAAAAAAGATAATACCTGATAAAACATTTGTCGCGATGGTGGTACAGTACCTTCTCGATAAATATACATGTTCTCATTAGACAATCGTTCCTGTTTTCGATTTTGGTCCTGGGACAAATTTGCAGTGAGTACTGTAGTTTTTGGTTTTGATATAGGAGCTGATTTGTATGGTAAAATATAATTTGAGTAACTCCGTTTGCACTTGATCGTCGCTTGCAAACCGTCTGTGAAATTTATAATAAGAATGAAAAAATATAACTAGTTTTCAATATAAACATGGAAGTGATGATTTTTTGAATTTTTCAAAATCAACTTACGCATAGCTTTCAGTCTGTAGTCAAGAGTTTGGTATTTCCTAGACGTAGGATCGGTCCTGGGATCGTAACCCAATTTGACCCACATGATCCGCCATGGTCCATTCATAAAATAATAAGCCACAGAAGGCAGCAATATTTTCAATTGATCACCAGTAAATTTTGTTTCATATATTAGTGCATTTTTTGACCATATTGGACGTTGCTCAAACATTTTTCGTACCCTCTCTAAGTGGAAACTCTGCAGAAATTTGACTTTCATGGCGGATTCGATACCTTTTGGCGGGGTTTCTGGTACGTTCGGCATATTAAAGTAGACAAAGTTTGAAAAACCAGCACGCCGCTTTCTAGTTTTACCGATAATATTTTGTGGAAGTGTATCAGTTTCTGTTTTTGGTACGTATTGCTGTACGTTATCCATTCTACTGAATGCAGCGGGTGGCAAAAAGTATGGCACTTTGTTTTTCAGCCATTGATACGGTGGGACGGTTGTTGGATAAATGGAACTGTATATGCATTCATTTTCCTTTGGATTCTTCGTCGAACGTGTGATCGGTAAATATTGAAAATCGCACAAATCTAAAAGCATATCAGGATGCATTATTTTTCGGTTACTTTCATTCTTAGAATTTTTATCCTATCCATAAAATATCTGCAAACGTACTCATGAACTTGAATTCTGTATCAATTCGTCCTAAGACTTTTAATTTTGGTAGTTCATAGTCCTCATCTTGTGATAAATCTTCATACTTATTGCTGTCGAATGATGGTAAGGCGTTTTCTTTTGATTTTGTCTCTGGTGTATTATTACTATTGTTGCTTACATTATCGGCATTTGATTTAGATTCGGGACATACAGGGTTCTTGGCAAAAGATTGATACTCTTCTTCTTTAGGGTTGGATTTTGCAATATTTTTCTTTGTATTGGATTGTTCTGTTTCATCATGTGTTTCACATTCGGTTGAAATAACTTTGCAATTGTTTAATTGATTTGCTAAGTTTTCCATGGACTTTCCTATGTTTTTATCTTCACTTTGTTCATTGATATATTCTTTATTTGATTCTTCAATAGGAATATTCATATTTTGTTGCGTACTTTGATCTGAGCCTGGATTCTTTACATTGTTATCAGTTATTTCTTTATTCACATGTATTACTTCTATTACCTCTATGTTTTTGCCGGTCTCCTTTGTATTATTCTCATTATTTTTTATTCGTTTCTTTTTTACTCTAACCCGCAACAAAAATCCAGCAACAGCATGTCTATCGCCACAAGCTGGTTTACAATAGCCATCATCTGGTCTAAACCGAAGTTCTAATCTCCTGTTGCGAGTATTAACAGCCTATTACAAAAAATTAAGAGTATGACTTTAGCGATGCAAATTTCATTGGTATTAGTTAAGAACCACCTGGTTCTTAATTACATAAAACAATGATGTACCGTAGAAATTGCAGAAATTCCTCCTAAAGTTTCAATTGCCTTTTCTGGATTAATAACATTTCCAGGATATTTAATACATACAAATTTGCGATCAAATCTATGCCCTCCGGGTAATATTGGCCCGACATATTCTTTTTCATCATCATCATTATTGTCATCTACCTTGGCTGTTTTGGAATGCTGTATCCGGATACAAAATTAAAAATAAATAGAATGTGGTCATAGAATGTTATAAGAAAGGTTTACTTCATCATTTATTATACGAAGTAATATTTTTTTTCATTTTTTTAATGAACAAGTATTCATACACTATTTATTCATATTCTTGTATGAAAATATAGTCATTAATTTTTTTTTATTAATAAATATATTTTAAGACACTTGTACTGCATTAAAATATTCACAACAAAAAACTATTATCCTGTAGTGGATAGCAATTATGACATTACAATGAGAAATATTAACAATTGCTCACTATAAAAATATAATAAGACAATAATCATGCTATTGAAACAAAAAAGTCCTTACGTTTTCATCAGTTTTAGTTTTCAGCAAACCTTCATATGATGATGCCTCACTGTCAACACCATCTTCATAGTCTTCAATATTAAAATCACTATCTTTGTTGTCATCATTATCAGAACCTTCAATGTCAGTTAAATCACTTTTATCACTCATAATTATATTTCTCTTAGAAACAATGCATCGATTTCTCACAATTCTTTACCGCACTGAATTTTCAGGTTAAGATCCCGGTATTATATCAGGTATTACGTTCAAATGTGTCATTTGTACATCTGGTTGCAGCCGTACAGGTGCACTATTACCTCTACAATATCATCTTCATAACTTTTCAACAACATTAATTATTGATCCTAATAAAATAAAACTAATTAGTTAAACCAAGTGTAATAAATAAAAATAGTCTATATATCGTCGATTAACTGCTTTTATCTTTATTTCTATAATTAAAGGCATTCAAGTACAAACAACAAAACAATAAAGTTAATCAAAAACCTTGAAAACGCCAATTGAAGGCAGATACTGAGAAATCCTGATGTATTTATTCTATTGTCGTATAGACATTTACTAAGTGTCTGACATTTCTCCAATATCTCAAGAAAAGCAATAATAGCAATAACGATCCTATAAACACAAAGAATTCAAAGTGTGAACAAAAGTACAAACAGTTCCAATTAACGACGAAGTAGATGCTAGTTTCCTCCAAAACAGATCATAAGTTATCAGTCATCGAATTGTGAACATTCATTTACACATCAATTTACAAGGACTCACGGTTGATCGGTTATCGTTCTCGAACGAGATAAGCGAGTTTAATCAGAATCACGACAATTCGGTGATAATTATTTCTGTTAGACGTGTAGAAAGGAGAGGTGAAGTGCGTATGGAATCCCCAGAGTGTAGCAGTGTTTTAACAGAACCCCGGACAACAGTCCCGTCGTCGTTCTGTCGACGTAACACGATGACGCCGGACAAGCAGAGCTCCGCTTCTTTGTATTGTCGAATCTGTCACGAAGGTACATCAGGGTGAATTCTGTCCTATATATGCACTTTTATCCACCAGTGATCCATCATAGATACTTATAAGCCTTAAGAATAAGAATTCGTAAGACCTCCAGAGGTCATACGAATGTGTTTCTCGTAAAAATTAAACGTCGTTCTCGTGAAACTTATCGACTGTCAACTAGTGGCTGCTGATAATTATACAAAATATATTAATTAAAAAATGCCAATAAATAATAAATTATCATCGTATCCCTGACGTAATCACGATGACTCATAATCGTCATGAAATTTTCGTAAATTTGCGATTCACTTTAGAACAGTGTTGATTCTAATATTTAATTTCCAACTGTTACGAAATATCTTAGGTATTACTTAAAATATGTTACGACATTTGTATGACCATTTAGACGCGGTGTATATTTTATTTGCTCTTTAGCAAGATTAGACTATGTAAGAGTTCACTGGACGATAAATCAAACGTGCCATGTAAAGTCTTTGGAATGTAACAGCATAATAATTTAGTCGCTGCTTGTTCGGAGATGTGGTAGCTACGTACGTCAGTGGCGAGACTTTGTTTTTTTCCTTGTGAATAATTATTTTTTCTAAGTTGATTGACTCGTGAAATGTTTGCTGTTATGTAGTTGTCTAAGAATTTTTATTATAATTAATATTCTTTGGGTTTATGATACTGCATACTCCTGTCTACTTGTCACAAACGATATGATAAAATAGATCACTGTATGCCGAATGGTACATCTTGGATCTGCAGATGGATCTTCGGAAGAATTAGTGGATCCTTGTAAGTGTTCTGGTACCTTGGCACTGGTCCATACTGGATGCTTAGAGAAATGGCTGTCTACTTCGAATAAGAATCGCTGTGAGATCTGCAAGTATCCATACGTATTACAAAGGACGAATAAATCCTTTTCAGAGGTAATTAAAATGAATATTGTTAATTTATAAAGTTGAGATAATACTCTATTTCAATGTTTCAATGTGCTTTACTTTATCAGTGGTGGAGTAGCAGGAACGCTTATGGACCTCAGGGTATTGCTGGAGATTTTATTTGTCTTATGGTACTGACGCCGCTGTGCGTTGCGGCAACATATCTTTGTGGCATTGGTGCAAATGCTTACTCACGTCTTGGATTCTGGGAGGGAACTGGGTTGGCCATACTGTGTTTTATGCTAGTTGCTACTTATTCCCTATGGTTGATTGTTACTATAAGGTAATCATTACAGTTGTTGAATAATTCATATCTCTTTTCTTAGGTAAATAATTCATAATCTTTTGCAAAGCATATCTGTATGTACTTTGGACGCAGGTTCCATTTTAAATCCTGGCGACAGTGGCGCCAACGTAATCAGGATGTGAAGCTTCTCGTAAAGCACAAGATGGCCGACGGACTCGAGTCAAAGTATCTTGATAATAATATAAAAGAAGAAGAAGTAAGAATTAATACACTCGAACGACTCAGTACTATTTTTCGATTAATTTCTTGGTTAGGTTTACCATTTGGATATACAAATGATCCTTCCTTTGATGTTCAGCAACATGCGTCTTTGGTTTGATCGAAAGAACAGGAAGCTTTCGTCACTTAAAATTCCTTATGCATGTTACTGGAGTCGATTAAGACTTTTTTATTGATAGTGAACATTGATTTTACAAAGTTTATAAAGCACGAAGTGTCTTTTAAATGTATTCCGTATCGTGACAATATTTTATAGAATATTAGAAGTTCAAATTATTAATTCAATACCCATATTTAATTGAACTTTCAAGTGTCCGTAATTTCTTATACTTCTGAATTTAAAATACTAGAAGAATAAAAAACGATTGTGATACGAATTAATGAACTATGGAATTTTCAGTAAATAAATTATATTTTTTATAACAAGATTAAATATCCGCATTAATTTTTTTCATTTTTTTTTTTGTAATTTATCACGTGATAACCATAATGGTACTATAATTAATGTCTGGAATCAATTGAAGTAATGTGATTTGCATATATAATAATGCGATTTCATATTCTACAGCTTTCTTCGAGCAAACTCAAAGTAACATATTAGCAACGTTACAATTTCATACTTCTTGATATAATATTTGCATACATCAAGCGCTCTATAAACTGTTACATCCTTAAGCAGGAGATTTCAGCATAACCATAATCCTTACTTTGCGTTTGATGGGTTAGTTCATGTAATATTTATTTGTCCATTTAGTGAAATTTCTTTCAATTCAAATTAATTGATCCTAACCTCACCTAAATCGCAGACCCTCTAGAATCTTTTATGGCCTAGAAATATAAAGCAAATACAAGTCTAGTTATGTCCCCTATACTTGTTCCCTAACTGTGTAATAAGCTAATTTTAATTTTTTCATGTTCTTCTCTTCCCTAAAGACCTTGTCCCAAATTATTCGCGTTATTTCCAATCAAGGACGTACCATTTGACGCTATAGCAATTTTACTCAGTCCGGTGGTACGGTATATTTAACAATAGTAAAGTATACACAGCCGGTATAAAATTGCAATTATAGTGCAAAGAAAAATACAGCATAGAAATTACGACTAATTCTTGTACCATAATAACCCATCTGTACATTGTAAGTCAGAAAGACTACATACAGGTCAGGTTAGAAGTCTTTGAAATTCATTAAGCCAAATATAGTTTGCAAAGGTCGTCCAGACTTTAATGCAATTTTTATATAATTTATTAAGACTTGTAAAAAGGAAAACAAGTTAACAATATTATGTCATTAATTAATCTCAATAAAAACAAATGTTAAATATATTCAAATGATATCCGTATCTATATTTTTAATAATAAACATAGCAAAATGGTGTATTAAAGGTTCTGGCTATGATAACAAGCGACAGTCAAGTGTGTGGCCCAACTTGACCAATACCCAACAGGTACAAGTCACGTGTCTCTACGACCATTTCATATGGGTATTCAGCAAACTTATATGACACTAATAAATTATTCTATAATAGATCAATTCGCAGGTTACCTATAAATTTTCGTGGCCATTTTAAAAGCATTTATTCAGAACCTATTAAACCTTTCATGCATTCTTACACGTAACTGACTTTTTATAAAGATACAATCTACCTCTAAAATTATATTGATTGAAATAATGCAATTTTTTAAATACACATTAAAACAATTAATGAGGAAATGGTCGAGCGATTTTGTTCTCCATTTAAAAAGCATTGATTCAAGGGGTGTCTCGGATACCTCAAGTGCCTACTCTCGGATTAACCACGTTCAATCGTTACCCTAAAGTTATTACATACGTGGTATAACAAATAATCACAATGGACATATCAATTTTATTATATACAAATTTTAAAAAGTTCTCAAAATTCTTTATAATACAGAAACTTGGGTAGTATCGAATTTTTTTATTAATTCAAACACATTATCGCAATTCACATTACTCGAAACCCCTATGCAATTACGAGTGGACTAGAATGCAAGATAATCGTGCTAGAATAGCATATACATATATGTTATTTCAGGACGTATTTAAAAGTGCGCATATGACACATATATATATATATAGATATAGGTATCTAGAAGCCTAATATATATATATACGTATATATCAGGCCAGTATAACATATATGTATACCATCGATATACGTTACCTTGCCACCCTAGAATTATGCATAGATATGTACCTGAGACACTAGCAGCTGTCTCTGGGTTAGTTTTCAATTATTTAATCTCATGTCGATATCGACAGCACATACCGTCTTGTACATAATTTGTGATTGTGGTCGTCATCGTGTAATGAACTGTTTACGATTCTTATAATCAGCATTCTCTAAAACACCAATCAGTCATGTGACAACACAAGTTGTATATATTATTAATATATGCTTTAAAATTTTAGATTTTTGTATCGTAATTTTTCAATTTTTCTTTGTAGGCCCCACCTTTGAAAACGCTACTTCCCTGCATCTCCAGTCAATGTAAAGCGGCTAATTGAAATCCGGTGACGACTGCGCATGCGCCCTTCGTAACTGGGAATGTACAAATTTGTATGCACCCCATAACGGGCGTAAAAGTTCTTTTTACTTCGAAAATTGTGAAATAATCGTTTTTTTCGTATTTAATCTACCTAGACGTCGCGTTTTCAAACGAAGCCGGACAAAAAATATCATGTGTATCAAGGGCGAAAGGATATAAATCGACTCGTTTGAACGTCGCACGAGCAAAGGGAGGGCGACAAACTTCACACTGGTAAAAATAACCTTCTTTACGCCCTTGATGAACAATGTACTATTTGAGTCTCAGAACTTGATAACTATTTTTCATTAATTTTACTTCTTTCTTTTTACTCGATATTTAACTGCAAATAATTTTATTACTGTCGTAAAATTAATATAGAGTGATTCTCAAGCATTATATTACCTGTGTGAATTTTGTATGGTATATATATAGTATATTTATATCTAGTATTTTTGAATTAGGAAACTGCAGCAATTCTGGATATTCAGTTCGTTGTCATATGCGTATTTGTCGATCATCATTGATAAATATATATACTTGAAATAGTCAGAGCAACGTGTTCAGACTACACGTAATGAGCCTATAGTAAAATTCGGATAAGGCCATTGTATACAGGGTGTCCCACGACTTATTCCACAACGGGCACTGACATATTTTCCGTTGAAAATAGAACAAAATCCAATTTGTCCGAATGAAATCGGTTGCAGCGTTCACGAGAAAATAAATGTTAAATATTTATAAATATCATCATGTCTCATGTTCGATAAGTCATAGTCTAATGATAATATTACAGTTTCTACTTGAGTGAATGTGTTCACAGAAGCAAACGCCCGCCACTTTCTTTTTCTACTGCTATTGTTTTCTTTTGGTGATGATTGGAATTTACTTAAAATGATGATATTTCTAAATTTTTAATATTAATTTTCTCGTGACCTCTGCAACCGATTTCATTCGGACAAATTGCATTTTGTTCTATTTTCAATGGAGAATATGCCAGTGCCCGTTGGGGAATAAGTCGTGGGACACCCTGTATATAAGTGTACAAATAATCATCAGTCTGATAATAAGTAGAAAAAAAATAATTCACTTGTAGAAGATATTTAGAAAATTGTACGAATTTTTCTTCAGAATTATTTAAATCAAGTAAAAAATAATATTATGGCAATGTTACATGAAGCTTTTATTATTAATACACACGGTCCACTCGGAAAAGGATTATCCACTCGGATAAAGAATATACAGAAACAGCCACTACCTACCATGTATACATATGTAAATAAATATTTAAAGAGTATTTCCATTTATTAAAGTATATAAAAAACTTTAAATAAAGATGTTGCTTTTCCAAAACTCACCTCGAACTCAAAGAATCCGAGAAATTACTCAAGGAACTGCACGCGTCGTTCTAGTCACACGTTACCCTGTCGGTAAAGTAGGTATACGCTCAGTATTTACCGTCGATAATGTTTTCTTCATTTTTTCCAAGAAAGAAAAAAAACTTTATACATTTCCCATACCGTATAGTATAGAAGAGACGAAGGATATTTCACAATGGCACGTAACAGGCTTAGTACAACCGAAACGTGGGCTTTTAGCGAGGGGGAAGAGGGTGGCTTTACGAAGGTGTAATTTACCCATAGGATGACTGTACAACGTCTAGTGAATTATTCGTGGGATTCGGTCGGGCACGCGGTACCTACTTATTGTTACTCAAAGTATCCAAGGAAGGCGGTCTACCATTTTAGACTTGTTCGTGACTCTAGTGCGTATAATACATGTGTACACAATCATTAATCGAATAGCCTTGACTTTCGATAAATTAACAGAACTCTCATCCACCGTATAAGCTCTTAGTTTCAAGGTCAAGAAATGCCGCTCCTTTAAGTCTTTCAAGAACTTTTAATTAGATCAATAATAAAAACAGCTTAAAATTCTTAAATAACAACAAAATTATTATTTACCGGTTCGTTCTCAATTTTTCAAAATTTCCAATCAATTTTACTGTAGACGTTAAGATTGACGAGCGATTCGTTCTTTTTACATGTCGTTATGCATTAATTACAATAGGGGTGACTATTCAGCTGTCCAAAGTTCAAAGGATCGACGTCGTTCTAGTTGGTACCATTCACAGTCGACACCTACTCAGGTATGTCGTTAACCTTGGAGCGTGTGGTACACCTGGTGCACCGAACCCTAAATCGACGCAGACAATGTTAACGTCGATACTACAACGTTGCACATTAACACAGAGCACCCTTGTTGGAATAACCTAGACTGTATAAAAAAATTCAAGTCACATTACCAGAACATGAATGAATGAAATAAAAAAAAATGGTTACCACTGACAATGGGCTTGACGACTCTTGGAATAATAATAATGATGAAAAATAAAATATTATATTTAACTACTGTCCAGTGCCGAAAGATAATGCAGGATAAGACGAAGACTTCGTCTATACCTTAACCTTAGAGAGGGTTATCGATAATCGGAATATCTGGTTGGTACCCATTGGTACCATAACGTATTGCTATGTATGTACATACAAGTCACTAGTCTAATATCAGCCCATATAACGGACCTTGCTTCCCCATTCGTCATGTATATACCTTAATAAACACTTGGAAAGCCCTGTTCTACTTTTCAAAGCGAGTAAAGGAGAGGGTTTGTATCGGTTAGAGGTTGGTGGGAATATATTGTAAGGATTAGTGGGCGCACAGAAGTCTAGCCTGTGGGTTTAGGGCTGGATGGTAGTATAGGTTTGGTTCAGTGCGCATGCGCGTAACCATGGCTACAAGTGGTTCCTGCGACCACTGGTCATTCCCGTCAAATATTTCCACCCGCAAGCTAAGCTGTATAAAAGCCTCGTTGCTCGTCAATGACTTTTCATTAATTTTATTAACCTCACAAGCCGATCGTTAACCTTATTCAACAATGTCGACAGTTCTCAACGTTGACAAACATCGTCCTAGCGTCTCGTGATTTTACTCGTGACAACAGGGTATTGCACCATTTTACGGACAGGAGGAGAACGTGTGACGCATCGACACTAAGGGACTCGTCATCACATCATCAACTTTATCAACATCGGTGATAGTTCAGTGTACTTCGCAGTGTGTTTCTTGCTGCCGAGTGATAAATATATAATAGGAATGAAAATTTGGGATTGTTGAATCTGACGTTGATGAGTTTGTCAAATTGTGATCGAAGGACATTTAATATTTTCGACACGCGTTACTCTTTGATGGTGCAGTTTAACGTGACTCTTAATTCTGTTGCGTAACACGTTATACGATTCGATATATGTGGATTTGACTTTCAAATGTTGACAATTATTGACAGTTGTTACTTTTGTTGTGACTCGAATTTTCATTTGATTTCTACATGACGATTTATTGCGTTATTGTAGTAAAGCCGAAGTACAATCGACAGTGAAGCTCAAGAAGTTCATTCCTGAACGTGTCATTCCATTCGCGTGTCACGCGAATTCAGTGAATTATTACGCTACAAGTATTGTCCATTTGGAGTTACAGATTCGTTCACACTGTCGAATGCGAGGCAAGGATTTGCGTGTCTTTTTTTTCTGTCAACATAGAAACTCTGTGCAAGTTAGTAAGTGTTGCTGTAAGGTGCGCGAAAGGGTGCTAGAAGCATGTGAGTAAATGGCTGTGGGACGACCGATCCACCCTCCAAAAAACCTACTATGGGCATCTGCCTGGACACTGGTTAGTATCATTAATATACATATTTGTTGCTGGGAGATACTTTGGGGACGATTTCATTTACGAAGTCGCTATTTTAAGGACAAGTGGCGGTTTTGGGGAGCGTCCTCAAAGAATTTTCAGCGTAATGACTGTTTTGAGGACTATAAACCGGACTGTCTTATTAAGTTTGTTTTTTTTTTCAATGTTAGGCATCCAGTATTTGTGATGGGCTTAGAAATGTTTCGTTAGGTTACATTAGGTTAGAACTCAGACAATTTCCTGACAAGACTTAAAACTGCACTCAAATCCTATGGCACGCTTTTTTCTCGTGCAACATTCAACTAAATCGTACTTAAGATTTGTCTACATAACAACGTATAGTCTTGCTCCTCTGCGCTCTATACGACCCAAAACATACTGTAAACGTTTACACGTTTTACTTCAAATTTTCCGAATATACAGCCTTGCTCGGAAATTTCCCGACGACAGTGTATATATATATGTATATGTATACACATATATATAAGTATATTGACGACTTTGAGGAATAATTACAGCTTGCGTGACTAACATCTCTTCTAAGAATTGTTAGATATAGAGTGGATCACTGATGGATCATTATACATGATCCATATAAGATCCAACACAAATATGTGTAAAAGACTGTACCATACTACATATTTATTAGAATTATTGCCGTCTGTATAGGAGATAGATCCAAAAACTGATCTGACAAGGATTTTTCCCTTACAATAAATATAGCTTGGATCGAAAATTGATCTAGGTACGATTTTCTGCGTGTAAGAAAATACAGCACGAAAGCTTCGATCAAGTTATAGATCCCAGATTGAAGTGACATCGAAAGAGTTCAAGCTATATTTTCATCTAAAATTTTTACCACGAGATCCGACCGTGAATATGTCTAAAAGGTCGATTGAAGACAAGAAAGAAAAGATGAAAGAAAGAAAAGAGCGAGAGAGTACATAAATGAAGATACCAGTGTAAGATCAACCCTGGAAATAAGTAAAAACGAAAAAAAAAAAGAAACTGAAAATTGAATATAAAATTATTTCGTTTATCCCAATAAAATAGTCATGAACCTACCCACGAATAATTATTCTCCTAGAATAATATGAGTTATAATTAAACCATTTTTTAAAATAATTATCTAAAGAACATTAATAAAATCTTAATCACCCCAACTATCCCATAGGAACATATTGGTTATCCTAATCAATTCCCATGTCGTTACAATTATTAACGTTCGCGCGCATCACTCACCGATCCCTGATAACACTATCAGCAGTACTTTTCATTGATTAAAAAAAAAATGAAAATCATCTACGCGAATCATACATTCCTCAATACTAAATTTGATTTGAAATTCAATTTCAAAGATGAACAACATCAGATGTCAAGGGTCAGACCTCACAACTATATGATAAACTACAAAAAGATTCAATAACTATAATGAAAAGTTGAGAAAGAACCCTGAAAGCAAATTGTCGACGTAAAACAATCCAAGGCCTACATGGATAGATTTGCATATAGACGCATTAGCATAAGCATGTGCATCTATAGTAATGTCAATTTAAGAAAAAAAGTGCCCCTATCCAAGTGTTTCGATTGGTCAATTACGTTTCCGCCTGCATAGATATATATCTATGCGTATAGATATATATCTATACGCATGTAAATCCGCATGCTCCGTGCCCATTACATCACACAAGCCGCACAGTAGTAAAGTGACGTGCAGGTCAGGCATAGAGCAGTGACGTATTATTTGAAAAATTGACCGTAATTTAAATCAGTATAGTTACGTGACGTAATTCTAATTTATATTAATTAAACCATCGGCTGATTAATTATTGTTAAAAATAATAAAAATTTTATCAATTGTTATTCACGTTGAATGCAGTTTGGATGCAGCTGAATGCAGTTGCAACGAATATGACAGTCAATGTCCACGTGGTTGAATCAACGTGTTTTCTAATGCGTTTGATCACGCGAGTATCTACATGGTTCATTATGCTGGTATCGTATACGTACAGTATACTCGTGTGCACTAGTGACGACGTACGAGCACGCGACGTATGGCGACACGTAAGGATGCATGCAACACGTGTGCATAGGGATTAACAGGACCGTTCGATAAAAACGTTTTATGATGACTCAGGTAAAAAAAAAAAGGGTATTTCGTAGAGATGTTTTTCAGAAATTTTTATTACATTTTTCAAAAATTTTTTTTTTATGCCGCAATTTATGACCAATTGGTGTTTCAATGATTTGGGGTTATATGTTTCTAATGAAGGGGGCGGGGGGGTCCTTTTTCTTATCAATGTGTATTTTTTATACAAGTATTCTCTGTTGCAGTTGATTGTAATATAGTATATAGTTGGTACAGTGTTGACGATGGATGCTGATAAACATTGATAACTATAGTGATATGGATATTGTATCGTTGGTCTGATCTTAAGAAGCTAAGTGTAACGATTATTATAATTACGGAGAGAGGCTAATTACAATTGGACAATTAATTTTTCTTTGATTAACGAAATCCCGAGTTATAATTAATTATGAGATTCATTATCATTGTCATTATTGTTTACGTGAGAGGATCTTGGAAAATGTGTTCTTGGGTAAATTGCAATGGTTTACAATTAAGGTGAACATTTGTTGCCGTACAAGATAACTTGATTTAAAATTTTTAAAAAGGTCAACAAATATCATGAGCTGATAAAATAATTGTTAAAGATTTTTTGGAAATATTTTACCTAAAATTGGCAAACTGTTGCGTTTAATTATTATTTTACATTTTATTATTATTTTTTTTTTTTACGATAATTAAACCCCCTATCGATTATTTCCAATCGAACATATCTCGTATGCGTCGTTATCGTAAAACAATAATATTATCGCTGTCATTTACAGTCATAAATTCTATTCAATCTTTGATAATATAAAATGACAAAAAAGTCGGTAATACCTACAGCGACGGAAGTTCATAACGATATCTTCTTTCTGAATACCAGACGTCATATCCTTTTTTGTGATTGTTACGTTACCTATTAATCAATCAGGAAATATTAGTGAAAGGTCAAAAAAACCGAAAGCCATAAATTCAGCTATGTTTCATTATATATATATAGCTATATAATATATATATATATATACACCCACACGTGTGTATATGATCTTATAAAGGATGCATCTACATGAATTTACGTTACTCATCGCACAAGAGGAAGATTGATGGAAATTAAGCGGGAAATTCAAATCTAATTTACATATATATGTGTGTATTGTATGTATATATATATATATATACACACACATACAAGCGGCGCATGAGCATAATATAATAAATGTGCTAATTGTGCGATCGACGTGTTAAAATTATTTTCAGCAGTTTTGACGCGTAAAAACAAGAGTAAAGCACGAAATGTTTACGCTTAGAAAATCAGACAGTCAGAGTCAATCATACTGTGAGATAGATATGTATATATATCTACGTGTTATTGCTAGTCACGCGAATAAAACAGACACTCCATATCCACAGTCCTCAGACCGAATGATTTCTGACAATAAACTTTCTACAAGGAGTATATGGTGTACGTTCGTGTCTATGCACTTTATCATGAAATCATCGTTTGTTCGATGACTCGATAAATTCTGAGGATTTCTACAATTCGATAAGTAATGCTCTGCTATTCGATTTGTAGTCATTCAATGGCGTAGCTAAACAATCGTATCATAGAGATCGAAAATATTAACGTATACGCTATAATACTTACATCGTGTGACGTGTACTTTGCCAGTCGCAACGTTTGACTTAATCCCAGAACAGTACGTTGGGTGTCGCAGACCGGACGTCTTCTTGGTCCTTTGTGGCTTTGTACCTTCATAGAGGACCAAGTGTCATAGACCCAACATTTAATGTAACTTTATGGCCAATTTCTTCAACTTCGGATAAAATTTAACCGGCGGATGAATTCCTAAAATATGAAAATGAGATTGGTCAGCTGGGGATTTATCCGTAGGTTAAATTTTAACCGAAAATAAAGAAACTTATTATTAGTGATCGGATGCGGAAATGTACCGTTCTAAAGTTAATATGACGCGTATCCTTTTCTTTCCGTGAAATATAACATAACCTATAATTATATTTGTTTTAAGGTCTGCTGAATACTTTGAATGCGTCGATGATTCAGAATTTGGGTTTATGGTTTTTACACTTCTTTTTTCTTTCTCATTCGAATTAAATTTTTTCTCGGTTTATCGTTGCACGTCAGAAATGACCTACTAACGGTCATCGTTAGTGGAAACGAGGGCAAGTCTACGAGGTAAGTAAGAATGGTGACAATCGAGCAGGGTTGATAAGAGTGATAACAATTTAGTTTGAAAATAACGTTAGACATAAAATTCCTTGAACTTTCTTGCTTGTTCTAGAAAAACGCCTAGTTTTCATCAGTGAATGAATTGTTTAATCATATTTGTTAATCATTACTGCCGTGATCGATAGAAAACTTAACAAAAATTTCTATCAAATTGCGACATCATTCAAAAGCTTATTATGTGAGTCGTTATCATTGTGGGTCTATAAATTGTATTTTGATCGTGAAGTTTTTGGCGTCTTGGAATTTTACAGGAGAATGATACGAGGTGGGATCGGTTATTAATTATAGATTGACTTCGTTACTAAGAATTACCTGCAGATCGATCACAAGGCCATATTGAATTTTCATTTTAACTCTTCGTAGTTCATGCTAATCATTGTTTTGTGTCATTTATCAATTTACGAAGATTCAATGATTTTCATGAAACAGTGCAATTGCCGTGTAAGCGAAAATCAATCACAAAGACAAAATCAAAGACAATTTTATTGGATACTAGCACACTGGGAACGACGTACTCTTACCTTAATGTGGCGATAAGACCTGTCAAACGGATTTTTACGGAAGTATAAAGTCCATTAATAATTCTCGTTATTCTATGAATAAAAAGTAAAAGAAAAATTATATCAGGCAATCATTGATTCTAAAATACAGTGAAACATTCGCACGCGAATATATGCATTATTTACATGTAAATAATCAATAAATTTTCACATGAAAAAGATACGTCAAAATATAGAAAATAAAACAAATATATATTACAAACACGGCATTCGTATAATTCGAATTTTTATTAGCAAACACGGTGTTACGCGACATCGGTAAATGTTCTGCAAACATCTCATCAAGAACAATATCATTTTTTACTTCTCTATCTTTTACGAAGTTACAAATGGGAGGTTATGTATCATTGTTATTGCGTTATTACGTTTACATATCTCGGTAGGTGAAACGACGACCAAAAAAAAAGTTGTCGAGTTAAACGTAAGCGGGCTTCGGGTATTCTAATTACTTAATTAATTATTCCACAACGTAAAGTTCTTATATTAGGATTAATGAACGCTCGTGTTTCACGTTTTAAAATTATACAGTTTCATCTGTGTTTGGCTACGAACGAGAGTTATAAGTCTGTATACATAGTGTCGATAATCACCCGTTCATGGAAAATCGAAAGCACAAATTACCAAAGCTTAATAACGGTTAATAAGCATGTACACACATGGGCTAGAACCTTCCAGTACGATTAAATATTTCTACTGCAAATTATAGTCCAACCAGCAAGAATAGTTTTTTCGATCATTGCTTGTCATATCAAGCCTTGCATAACTGAAATGTACTTTTTCGATAGTTTCAGTATAAGCCTAAGAATAACGAAAGAGGTACTTGCATTTTGAAGATAAGTCCAATTCACGTAGTGAATAAGTTTATGTAGATGAATCTTTTTAACGTTTTTTAATAATCTTCTTTACAGAGCAACAGAATGGATCCCAGGTGTTCGACGAGAACAATGTCCGTGGTACGGGTAGATGGCGTGGTGAAGCAGGACTCCTGGCGACGCCACCAGATGGCCGTTTTCCTATGCAAAATGTCGGACCGGTTAACTTTGAGACACCCAAAGTGCCAGTCATTTTTGTTCTCGGTTAGTAAAAATTAATTATTTACTTAATTAGCAACAAGATTGACAGCTCGTCAGTTGTCTTATACAGCTTCAGATACTGGGTGACTATTAGCATTTCGACACAAATTCTATGATACACAGTATATTATACAGGGTGATATAATTTTAGTGGTAACACAAAAGACTTCAGCATTCACATTTCGCGCGAAACCTTTTGAAAGATGATTATTGTCCTTAAAAATAATTTTTTGTTTCAGGTGGTCCAGGAAGTGGGAAGGTGACGCATTGCGATAATTTGATGCACGAGAAAAAAGGCATAGTACATATTAATATGACAGATCTACTACAGCAATATGCATTAGGAAATGGTGAGAGAAATTTTTCTTCAGATGGTCTTTTAATTATTTTTAATAATCAATGGATTTAATAATAATAGTTATCAGGGTAGTACGATTATAATTCAGTGAAATTAGTCATTGTACATACGCTGAACTAACCCTTAGCCCAAAAGGTATTACGCCGTTTGATACCATCTGACGACTCGTACATTTCGACCAATACATCGACAACATGGTAATGTGTAGGAAAGGATGTTATATTTCGACTTCCAGAATGCCGGCGGTTCAAGGGTTAAAGTAATGACAGGGACTGTCCTAGTATCACAAATAGTAGTCTACATCGTTACTAGGAATAATCGATATCTCGCAACTTCATATAAATAAATTTCCATCATTTGAATGCTCTTTAACAATATGCGTACCATAAATTATACATTGAATCGATTAATCGTTCATCATCTTGACCCATTGATCATACTGATTTGCGATCTCTGAACGAAAAATTTAGGTTTTATCACACGCTATCGTCCTTCCGTGAATGATAGGAGCGTCATTCATTCATAGTCAATTCTCAAGTGAAAATTAAAGTGCGTAAGAGATCAAGATAGTGGAATAACTTTTAATCACGAGTACGTAATCACATTCGTAAAGTTATAGTTAATCAATATATTCATAAAATTATAATGACAGTATTTGAGTCAACGACTGTTTATCTGCTTATCAGTAACTCAGATTCCAGTCCAATTGTTCAATTTTGGAATTGCTTCAAATCAATAATTCTACCTTCGTTCAACTTAATTTTATGTAAATAAAGAAACATTTTTTAATTACACAACAGATATGCAAGACTTCGGTCTTCTGAGTAGTAAAACCGTGGCTGAGGTGCTCATGCTCGAGATGAAGATGTCACCAGGTGCCAAGACGTTCCTGGTCAGCGGCTATCCAAGAAATATGCGGGACGTGGTCGAGTATTCCGAGAGGGTGAGTAGCACATATAAATTAAAAATAAAATAAAAAGGGAATGCCCATTTCATCAATTTGAAGGCAACATAAGGTACTAAGGTGACCAACAATGGTACATTTAATCTATACCATAATCAAAATTTTCAATCAAAGTATAGTTGTTAAATATTATATTGATTAAATAGTAAGTGTACCTCAGGGATATCGTTCGAAAATAGAATCGTAGTTTCATATGTGATGGCGAAATGAATTTTCCAAAAAAAGCAATTTCACGTAAAAAAGTTTTTTATTTTATGATTAACGTCATTCTCGAGCTTCGAATAGTCCTCGGTATAACAATATCAAATTTCGTAAACTTGTATGTCCAGCGTTGAATGGCGACAGCGACGACCAATTGGCATCGTGGAAAAATGACAAGAATAATTTGGACATTTTTTCGATGTGGAGTAACTTAATTCTTACATGGTTTTATACTAAGGGGACTACCCTTACATTAAAGAGATACATTTATTGATCTGACTGTGTAACGTAGTCCTTAGGAAGAAAAATGCTTCTCTTTTCAAGGTCAGTGGCAGGTATTCAGATGATAAGTATCCATCGCAGATGAAACTGTATATACATTATCTTCACGTTATTTGTTATGCTTAAGAATTAATTAATTGATTTGAGGAAGAACCGATTGATTAAATATTTAGTTGGTTTTGGTGAAGCGCTGTAAATTGATTTTGGTAAAACGGTGTAAATTGGTCGCTCGGTATATAAATTGTATTTTTCTAGAAGAGATATGCCGTATTAAACTGTATTTATTCAGAGCGTCACAGCCCTGCTGTCGTTTACCGCGCGCGCGTTACTCTAGTCAGATATGTAACGTAGGAAATGGATATCCTATCGTATGCTTTGCCACGTGTACTAGAATAGAAAATGACGCGATGAAGAAACGAGAAGAAGAACGTTATTGAATAATCGAAAATCGAGTTGACGCGGAGTCAAAATACAACCATGTTTGCATCGAGAAGATCCAAGAAGGAAACTAAAGAAACAAATAAATCACTCGAAAAAGAGTTTAACGACGATCAAACTAAAGGCTTAAGAACTCTGCGTATACCTATTTAGCGTAGCAGACAGGCGACGATCGCAATACGTGACGCGTCTGATTCTGCGCATGCGCACTAATTTCGATAAGCTAATCGAGAATCGACATTGTACAATTCAACTAAAACAGTGTATAGACTATTTTTTTTTCGTAAGTCAAATGGAAATAGCGAAAAATATTTAACATGAACCACTGTACCATTGACCTCAATTGCCAACGTAACAGCAAATTTGATGTTCTGTATACCATATAATATGAATCGAATATGCCTACCACACGCGTGAAATAGTTTCCACGAAGTCTAATGGTTATTACGAATTATTCAAAATTTATATGAATTCAAATTTGAATGTTACGTCATACTGCACTTTGCCTGTACCGACTATGCTACAATTTTTAACAAAATTTTATTAATTCGTAACATTTGACGGTAAGATAATTTCACGCTCAGATAATTTTCGTATACATTTTGCAATTACTTAATGCCTTTGAAAGGTACTTTGCGATTAGAAGATCTTCTTACGCTATTATGTATAGTCAGGTATCACTGGAATTTTCTTTTTATATGTTACTTTAATTTCACGAATTTTCATATTACATTTGGTTTTTATCGGCATCGAAATTGGGGCGACATAGAAATAAGCCATGACGCGCTCGTATTTCCTAATAAATAAATAATGTACTCTAAGGACAGCCATGGAATCGATTCGCGAATATTAGGTCGCTTCGTACTCTGATACAAAGATGTAGATATATGATATATATCGCATGTGACGTATTTTAGTCATTGACATTGCATGGAAATAAGAACTTTTTTTTTATAATTAAACATATTTTTTTGAACTTCAAAATGTTAATTTGAATTTTACAGTGATTTGCTATAGTGTATTGCTGATTTGTTAATGTACGAAAATTTCTTCTCAGATACAAATAGTAAACGGAGTAGTCCTTGTATCCTGGAGGCAAGAAGTGCTGGAGCGACAGATCGATTACGGGGCACAACTTGGTCATGTGATTTTGGGACTTGCTAGAATGGAGCTTCACAACTTTTATAGAAACGTCATGCCCGTTGCTGAGTATTTTGATCAGAGTGGAATGCTGCTTGCTGTGAGTCCAATATTTTTTTTTCTTTGAATAATTTTTTATTATCTTCTTCAGTCGAAAGGATGTTTTGATAAATTAAAAAAATGTATATCAAGACAGTGACTTTATCGTTGGTTGCTGCTTTCTTCATGATGGACAAGCAGACTGTGCAGAAATCCAGGATAACAAATTGGAGCTTTGAAGTTTACTGTTAAACTATTGAAAAATCGATAAACAAATATTACCAGAAGATGTTATTCACGTTTTTGCGTGACTGATATGTCCGATAAAGGCGAATTATCAGTAACAGCTGCAATCTCGAAGCAATAAACTAGTCATGCGATGCCTATATATGCAGTCGGAATAGCATTTAACTGTAGTATCAAAGCAATACTGTTATCGACCTTTTCGATATTCATACACTGTCGTACATTACGAAGAAAGACTTTAGAGTCTGATAATTTCGATAATCGAGCAGCTATGATTTATTTTGACATTTATTCTAGATTAACGGAGAACGAAATCCTAGTGAAGTTTACATCGACTTCCGGGAAGCCGTTATGAAGATTCTTGGAATGTCAGAGGATGAAAATTTACCAAGGGACGCACCACGTTCCCTGGAGGCTGAGGTTTGCCAGAGTATTTTCAAACTGTCGAAGATTATCTGCAAAACTTAAAATGAATTCCAATCGCGGTTAATTAGGTGGCCGTGGAAAGGAACGAAGGAACGAAAGGTTCGCCAGCCATGAAACACATAGTTGTGGCGGAAATGTCGCCTCCGCCGCCGTCATCGCCTGACGGCCACGTGAAACCTTCGAAAACTGCCGACAAGCCCCGCAAGGGGATTCCCTCGTTTATCTGGGTGATTGGTAAGTTTGGAATGATATTAAATAATAAAAAAAAAAAAAACACAAGCAACCAACCTGACTCTGTAATTAATTAAAGGTGGTCCTGGAAGCAATAAAGGTAGCTTATGCAGCCAGGCAGTAAGAAACTTACCAGGATGGGTTCATGTTAGCATCGGTGGCCTTTTGAGAAATATGGCGTCCTCGAATCCACTAGTGAACAATGCCATTGTTTCCGGTGAGATGGTACCACAAGATATTGTGATGCAGGTAGTGGAGCAACAAGTACTTCTTAACCGGGATACAGATGGGATTGTCATCGACGGCTTCCCCAGGGACCTTAATCAGGTTCAAGAGTTTAAGAACAAGGTACCCTTTTACTTTTAATTATACATTACGTAGTTTTTTTTACCTAGACTAGATTTTATTATGACATGCTATCATTTCCAGTTCGGTCAGGAACCTCCATTGCTTTTGTTGGACTGCTCGAAACTTCAACTAGGTCGTGGAAGATTGGATGACAGCGTGTCAGCCTTCAGGAAGAGGCTGGAGCTCTTTCGTGAGATGTCCCTTCCAATGCTGAAGACATTAGACAATGATAATCGTCTTACAATAGTATGTATTTTGTATATACCGTATAGGTTTCACCCCTTAGCTGACGGATGACCCGTCCTAGGTAAGGGACTCGTCCCTAAGTGAAATTCAGTCTGCCAGTTTAGGGGTTAAGAAACTAAAGGTTAACTTTGAGCTACACGAATTGCATGTAACATTTGTCTTAATGTGTCGAAGGTCGATGGTGACACTGACATTCCAAATGTCCAAGAGGAATTCACAGCAGCTCTGTACCAACATGCGCAGCAAGCTCGTCGCAAGGAAGAGCTTCATCCTCAGGGTCCAAGATTCGACGGAAGTGATGATGCGGAGGATGGCAAAGCCAACGTTACGAATAAAAGCCACCCAAACTTGCTGGCCCCCGGTAACATCAACGGGGGCCAAAGAATTGACAACAGTGATGACAATCTACAGCGAGCTGAGAATGGCTACGCTAAGCCAGTTGGAAACGGCCTGAATGTTCTGGCTAATCATATTGAGAAGCGCAATGACATTAAGAACAATATCACCAAGAATACAAATGAATTAATCAGAAACGTTAATGGTAATGGTAACATCAATGGCGATATCAATGGTGGAGTATACGGGAGAGGCAATGGTGTCCATCGTAGAAATAATAACAAAGATAATATAGCAAATGGCCAAATTGGCAAAACCATGGCGAACGGGATAGATTCGATTTCGAAGAAAGTTCAAGAAGCAACGATTAACGGAGCAAAAAGAGCAATTGCGAATGGAAGCATTAGAATAGCTAATGGGATTGTAAATGGTGCTCCAGTTAGTTTACAAAATGGTGCAGCTAATGGCGCCAACAATCTTTTACAAAATGGCGTTGCTCATCTTGCTAATGGAATCCCAGCCAACAAGGTTGCTCCTACTGTCAGGAATTTTGTTGGCAACGGGATTCGAAATCCGGTAAGAAATATGTACAACGAGGTGGAAGGTTATCAGGAAAATTTGCATATTTAAAAATAATGTTACGAGGTACGAGAATATTAGGCATAAAGAACATTACTGTTGACGCGAGCTTGTCCAGGAAAAAAAGATTTTCGAAAGACATGCCATACGACCAATTCCACCTCGTAAGTGCTAGTAACTGAAGAATGCTCACAAGTAATATTGTACGTTTGGATTATTAGGCATTCAATCGATTACTGTCCACTGCCGAATTGGCTGAATCATTTTCTTTAAAAAAAAATTTAGTCGATTCCCTGCCGAGTATTCCGAATACGTATCGCGCGAATTGGTATGGGTGATTGGTGCTGTTTATTTGTATACTGTCACCGTTTCATTTGAAAAATCTCTATTTTCGATTCCCATAGTTATAATACTCAAAACTAATTGCCCATGAAGGATATTCGAATTTCAAAATAAATTGCACCGGTGACTCAGCTAAATCGTTTGGTACAATAAGAACAAGGATACGTACACTATGTCTATTACTTCAGATATTTGTAACAAGATTGAAAATTGCTCACAGGTGAATATTAGACATAGAGTATTTAGTATCAGACGTTAATTATACGTGCTTTAAGTTTAAGGATAAGTAGGTATGTGTCTTATGATACTACACGCGCGGCAATAACGTGTAAAGTCAATCAAGTACGAAGCATAGTTATATAAATAGTACATAAAAGACATTCTATTTTCGAATGGGAGTTATATACACATATCTGGTTTCAACATAGCATTAAGACGAGTCATACGAATTGGAGATCGACTTCCCATTAATATAGTAAAGTTCAAATTCCTTTTTAATGTTCGTTAAGTCTCTTAATAATTAAGCGATGATTACCAAGCACTGATATGTAACTGGCACTATTAAATTACAGTATTAGATTTGATCCCAGTATAATGACGTATGCCTGTGCACGTTATGATAAGTTTCAATTTAAACTTCAAATACTTTTATATACAAATATGAATGTCGATCATCAAATCGGTTGATTCGTGCTTACTATGCAGTCCGCAGGCGGATTAAAGATGCAATAAAACTATTATACAAGTACCAAAACAAAAGTATTAAGCATATTTCAGCGTAAATATAGTACATACTAGTATTCGAAGAAGCGCTACGTCGTATTGCAATAAAACTAAAAAAAAATATTCGTGCAGAGAAAAAAAAAGCCAGAAGAAAACGTGATTCTTGGCAAAGTGCCTTAGAAATAAAACTCATAAACGATTATTAGAATCCTGTTATCGAATATTAGAAGTGCATCAATCGGCACAGATACATTTAAAACGGCAATCCTTACTAATATCTTTTTCGAAGGAAGAGCTGCGCTGAGGATATATATTCTATAGTTCAAAAATTCGTGAAAAAATTGCCTCAGGCAAATATCGTGACTCTCGCAACTCAATTCTCGTTATCGGTACTGATTAATAAAAAGGAAAACATTCTAGAGCCAAAAAGAAATGAAACGAACCTAGTGCCTTTTCACATTTCGTATCCCTTTTCTACACTGGAAAGGAAGCATTTTACGAAATAAATGTTCGAACAAATTTCGTTTGGTTTCAAGGGGGAAAAAATGCTGTGCCGTTATTTTTTATTCGCAGCGGTTTTCAAGGCTTTTCCAAGGTCAACATTGTTTTTTTAAATGGGAATCTATATATTTTATTGCAGAATGTTATGCTATACAGGGTGTTCCGAAACTACCTGACCCGGTGGTTATGGCGGTGTTCGGGAAGCTTCACTGATCACGAAAATGATCTTCTTTTTGTCCGGAAGGTCATAGTTTTTAAATGGGAGCAGGTCAAAGTTGATCAATCAGAGGGAGGCGTCAAGAGAAACGTAGGCATCTACGAACTCTGAGTTTTCTTCCCTCACTTTTGTTTCTCTGAAGAAAACTCAGAGTTCGCAGGTGCCTACGTTTCTCTTGAAGCCTCCCTCTGATTGGTCAACTTTGACCTGCTCTCATTTAAAAACTATGACCTTCCGGACAAAAGGAAGGTCATTTTCGTGATCAGTGAAGCCTTCCGAACACCGCCATACCCATCGGGTCACGTAGTTTCGGAACACCCTGTATATGTACATAAATTAACGCCAAGTGAATTAAATGGGGTTGCTGGTAAACACCAAAGTGCCCAAACGTTTCCGTAAATGTTACGTCGGGCGAATCACTCGTGAAACGGGTTATACTTAATAAACGTTGTTAGAGGGACATATTAAAGTTATTCATATTAGTTGAACGTTCTTGAAATGAAAAGAAAAAGAAGGGACGAAAAATAAATTAAAAAATGGATTTGGGTGAACAAGTGTTATACTTGGGATTATGTATCAGATCTCTAATAATAATAATAATGTTAATCGAAGGATATTTTGTAATAGATTTAAACGAGACAAGGAACTTAAACGATTAGTTTAATGTTGGATGTACTTATCGATTAGTATGCAATAAATATACACGAACACGAATTTAAATGTTTATAGTTATTTATTGCCTTTAATTCTTTAAGATTGTTATTCATTTTAACTACCATAATAATAAGTTTAATAATAGTAACAATTTATTATTGGTGAATGTTAATGAGGTTTTCATAATTTATTCTAATAAATTTTATTCGATGGTTCATAAGTGCTTGATTTTAATAATTTTGTATGGGAAGCGATGTTCAAGGATTTTAGAAAATCGTTGAAACTTTGTCATTCTTTCTGGGACAAGTCTACAGTCCGTGTTATCTGGCGATATATGAGAAATTTACGATATGAAAACGACGACGTGAAAAACATTACTATTAGCAGCTTTAACGTATATATAACGAGGGACCGTAACCGTAATTGAAACGGAAATGAATAACCGATAATAATTGGAAAAATAAGGAACCGAAATCATAACTATTAATCGAAGTTTCATAAATGTTATACCTAAAACCGTAATGGAAACCTGAAATTGCTACAGTGGAAAAGCAAAACCGAAACTTTTAACTGGAATGTATTTTATTCATAACAGAGATGAATAGATTGCCGGTGGGCCTCATTCATTCAAGTTATGTGGCGCCATCTCTGAGAAAACCAGTGTGAACCTTGTACCACAGACCACTTCAATGTACGATAAATTAATTTCGAATGTCATTTGAAAATTGCATCATCGAAATTTGAATGCGTCAATTCATATTAAATGAAGTTGTATTAGTTTGAATGTTCGCGATAAAATAGCAGCATCTCCTGGTTGTAGGAACACGTGGAGTATCGCGAACACAATTTATATGACGACGTATGCACTTGCTACGTACATATCTTGTATTTAAAGAGAAACTGTGAGGTTGCAAACGCCGTTTTTTGAGTTTTTCAAAAAAGTATCGTTTGCTAACCTGAAGAAGCACGAAATGGCCGATTCTTGATGAGTTCAGAGTGTGTGGGAATCATCAAGAATGGACCATTTTGTGCTTGTTTTTTGGTGCACAAACTGTATACTTTTCGTACAGCGTTGCAAAAAAAATATTTAGGCTATATCCGATGAGCAGCTTTGTTCTAAGTTTTGCTTTGGGAAGCAGCGGTAAGTAGCGAAGAGCCTCTGCTCACCAAGCTACACGTTCATGATCGCGGTCAGCTCGGCTACGACGGAATCCGCATTATCGACAGAGGCGATGATCACGAAATCCTACTCCCGGATTCGCCGCTACGATTTAGCGCCATGCTTTTGGTATCGCCTAAAACCGGAGCGTTGTGCATCTCCCCACTCATCTCTGCCTAAAACCGTAGCGTTGTGCATCTCCCTACTCGTCTCTGCAAAATATACAGGCATGTTTGGTCTATTTACATTCTGTCGATGGTGATAACATTTGAGATGATCCTTTAGCACGTGTCCGTCAGCATAGGTCAGTATGTCAGAATCGCGCAATATCATATGAAACACGGCAATTATTAGTCCATTTATCTTTTGAAACATTCGCGCGACACGGTCAGTCGACGGTAACTGGATTGTGGCCGACAAGCTCTACCGATTAAACAGTATATTAAAAAATTGAATGTTATATCTGCGCCATATTTCTCGTCAGCTGAGAACTTCTGTCAGAATTTCGGTGTTGACATTGTCGAACACTCGGATGGTAGTCCTAATTTTGCTGGCGATGAAGACAATGATATCATTGTCGGGGATGCGATGACCAATGTTTTCGAACGTATTGAAGGTGAGTAATATCTGAATGAGATAATTTTTCCAGTAAACAAGCTGATTTAGAGAGCTCCCATACTCTTTGCTGTGTAACCTCAATCATTTTAGTCATTTACGAGTTTTTTAAATTACGTTTCTGCGTAATTTTCAGTTTTTAGGAATAAAGCTCAGTCAGATAACTTTATAACCTAAATATTTTCATAGCTCTTTAAGCGAATTGCCTATTCTGTCCATACTTCTAAACTATTTAATTCGTGATGCATTGATGTTCTAGGATAAATCTTTTGTACCTTCACTGACTTATTTTTTTGAGAATATATAGAATAAATTTAATAGATCATTTCTTTATCTTACAGATCTTTTGATTCTAGCATTTGTTTTTTAAATCGCTCTTTTACAGTGTTCTAGTGTGCTTGTCTCAAATGACACATTGATCAATTTGACACCAGAGTTCTTATATACCAAGGCTATTAAAATGGACAGTCTTTTTACACAAAATGTGTCTGATGAGCCAGATGATATACCACAAACACAAGAACCAGTATGGATTCTTGGCAAGAAGTACAACGCTATAAAAGGTTTCCAGTTAACAATGTGTTAACCCTAGTATTCTAGATTCGATAAGAACTATTTGCTATTTCAGAACTTGATGCCATTCGCAGGGACATACAGTCTAAACTGTGGTTTACATATCGCAAAGGTTTTGTTCCAATAGGTGGTTTCGGTTCAACATTTACCTCGGACAAAGGATGGGGCTGTATGTTAAGATGTGGCCAAATGGTCCTTGGTCAGGCATTGGTCTCCTTGCACTTAGGTATAAATAATACAAATAGAAATTTACCACATGCAGAAACCTGCTATGAAAATTATTTCAAACAGGCAGAGACTGGCAATGGACACCAGACACAAAAGACAGTACGTATCTGAAAATTTTAAGCAGGTTCGAGGATCGAAGAGCAGCACCATTTTCAATTCATCAGATTGCTCTAATGGGAGCATCCGAAGGAAAAGAAGTTGGCCAATGGTTTGGTCCCAATACTGTTGCACAAGTTTTAAAGTATGTAATAATATGTTGTCTTAATTAAGAACATAAGAGTATCGTACTTTGAGCCTAGCCTCAAACAAATGACTGGTCCTTTCAGAAAATTAGTTGCCTACGATGAATGGAGTTCAATAACGATACACGTCGCTCTCGATAACACGTTAATCGTCAATGATATTCGTGAGTAACATTGGGCTTGTCGATGCGTCCTTTATCCATAAATACCTGCCAGTAAGGAGGAATGATTACAGTGAGACAATGTAAGGTGGAAGGCGGAATGACTGTCGAAGTTGATGGCGAAGAACCTTTAAAGGCACCCAGCCAATGGAAACCATTACTACTTCTCATACCTCTACGACTTGGTTTAAGCGAGATCAATCCCGTCTACATAAATGGCCTTAAAGTAACAATCGATAAAAAATCAATTAAACTTAATGAAAATTCAATGAAAGAATTAGTTACGTAAAAAATTATATATTTCAGACGTCTTTTCAAATAGCCCAATCACTTGGAGTCATAGGAGGAAAACCGAATCTTGCACTGTACTTTATTGGTTCTGTTGGTACGTCTCTTACTTTGCATTCTACAGACATAATGAATATAGTAAACTGAGTTCGCTGTTCAGGGGATGAAGTAATATTCTTGGATCCACACACAACACAACGATCTGGTAGTGTCGAACAGAAAATTGAAGAAAATGAAATAGAAATGGATGCCACGTACCATTGTCAAACTGCTAGTCGTATTCCTATAACTGGCATGGATCCATCTGTTGCTCTAGTTAGTAATATTTTAATATAAACCGATATAAAATTTGGCTTTCTTACGAATACAGATAATAATAATTCTCTGATGTGTTTGTAGTGTTTTTTTTGTGCTACGGAAAAAGACTTTAGGTCTTTGTGCAGATCGATGCAAGAGGAATTAATAGATCCTGAGAAACAGCCACTTTTTGAATTATGTACTGAAAGACAAACCTGGTCTCCAGTGGAGGATATTTCAACAGAAGCTTTAGGAGCTGCTGCATCTACTCGTAAGCTCTTATTCCATTTATCTATACTTTTATGATCCCCCATGAAAACACTTATCGATTGATCTGTACAGTTTTGGAGTTTGAACATCTCGATCGTCAATATGATACATCTGACGAAGATTTTGAGCTGCTTGGTTGACAGTTGGCCCCTGATAAGTACGATGCCGACGCTTGATCATGATGCTAACGCATTACCAGTTGAAGAAAAGTGAAGAATTTAATGAAGATATCCTCACAAATAATATGTGATCTTTGCGATAACAATTTTACTCAACGTAAGTAGTAATAGCTAGATAATGAATAAAAATTATTAATACAGATGAGAAAATGTCAGCGCGATATTTGTCAGTGGTGCTTTGTGAATTTTTTCAATGATTATATATCTACTTGATTTTGTGACTTTAATGACATTAAAGACCAAAGAGTCCATTCGTTGAAATCACTTAGTACAGATAATTCTTTGGGATTCTTACAGAATATAACTTATCCAGTCCAAAGGACATACTTCGTTTTTCTTTTCCGATCTGAAAATTCTCGTGAAACGCATTAACACAGTTGCGTACCCCATTTAAAGAACTTTGTAAATATTTTATTATAAATACATATAACCGACACAATACCGCTTATCCGTAAATGCAGGGAGTGTACTACATTGAAATGTAACAAAACATTGTAAGAAACAAATTTCTATATGAAGTTATACAGAGATTGGAGAGTACAGTATTTGTCTTCTGTTCTTAATAACATAAGATATATACTTACATGCTTTTACTCTGTTACGTGGATAAGCTGAGTTATTGTTTGATTTTTCCTATCCGTAGGAAACTAATATTTCAGATAATACAATAATAAGAAAAGCAAAATATACTATGTATCTCTGATACAAAGAAATTATTATGTATATCACTAAGAACAAGCGATAGTAGTATATGACATATTTTACTTTTTTTTTCAAATTTAAAGAATAATATTGTTCACCGGTATTCCTATTAATTGTTTTTAGGTTACCTGCAAACTTCCTTTGTACTTTATTGTTACGCGTACGATCGATTCTGCGTTAAAATGTATTTTCTATTGTTATACATATAACAAAAGTGTCACAAGCATCTCTGTGCGTTGGACTACTTTTAAAATGACAGAGTAAACTGCCAATTTTTTTTATTGTGCAATTTTATTTTACAAACTGTTTGCTTTGGCAACTTTGAATAATGTGACTGAATTTAACCGACAGTCTGACGTGCAGCAGCTGTTGAACTTCTGGATGAATATTGCATAATATAAATTTCTATACATGATAAATATTTTGTAAAATCAAACCCAGGAAAACCATTAAAAGTAATGCGCATAAGAATTTAGCTGTCACTGTTCCTTCCGATAAATCAAATTAATATCACATTGGGAACATTAATATTAATTAATGTATGATACACTCGGTCCAGTCCTGCATTCCTATTAAAACTTTGTCTCAGCCACATTTGCTGCGCATTCAAATAGAAAAATCTGATTATCCAATGAAACTTTCTGTATTGTCATTTTGTAAAATAAAACCAAATACACTATAATTCAAATCTTTTACTCAATTGTTGATTTTGGACGTTTTCCAAAGCTTACTGGCAATGCTGCGAACATCATTCTACATTTTAGTCTGTCATGTATCGAACAATGAAGCAAAGATGTTTGTAGCAGTTTGCAAGTAAATTTTGGAACACACTCCTAGTGTGTTATTAGAATAAATACAGTGGGAGACAATTTTTTTGGACGATTTAAAAATAAATATATTTATTGATCTGGCGCGCAATGCTACAGCCAGGAGACACTCCCTGGATTCCAAAAATTGCATTTACAACATCGATGGTATTTTTTTCTTTTCTTATAATTTTACAACAATATACATACACTGAATACACATAAGTGAGCAATGCATTTCAAACAGATATTATTAGTAAGCCTCTTCATCTTTTTCATGATCATCAGCGATAGGACTTTGCGAAATTTTCATTTTTTTGAAAAATACAACTGAACCCCATTCTCTTGTTTTTCGCTTCTTCTTTTCTCAATCTATGTTAGCAAACTGTAGTTGTCAGTAATTACATTCATGTTTCATATTATGTATTACAAAAAATGCAATGCACTCGATGCACAGTATATATAAACAAAGATATTCAGCAATTTTGTTTTCGTTGCGCAACAATACTTTTCGAAGGACGTTTTGTTTGGAAATTTTTCACCCACTTTTATTTCCCCTTCAGATTTTATCAAATGTCTAACTTAATTGATATAATTATTTTCCAGTGATTATTCTTATCAAATTAAATGATATTTGGCACAGGCAATACCATGTGTCTCGTTTTCGATTTTTTATTTTTACCCAATTTTTTGCAGCAATTAGTATTATTATCCTTTTTTTTACTGTTGGATAACAAACATTTTTTAGATGTAACTAATCGCAAGTAAATTCGTTTGAACAATCGTGTTCACGACGATAAATTAAGTTATATGAAAATATAGTTGATTGAGCCTCCATTTAATGGGACGGCCACAAAAAGCGTCGTAATTGACAAGGCAATTAGAATTAATAATGAAAGCTTCTTCGTTTTATTATCCTTTGATATATTTTACGAATTTTATGGGTGGTCAGATTTCGAATATTCCTTTTCATACGATTCTCTTTGCTCTCTTATCAATAATATTCCTCAATGGTCATCACAAGTTTCACGCTTATGGCAAAATTAATGTATTTAACCATATTTTTTAAATCTCAGCCTGTTACATTGCTAGTCATGGAAACTAATTATTACAAATAGGATCATTAGATTGAAAAAGATATCGAGTTACTATACTCGTTAATCATAAAGGTAAAATATGAAAATTTAATATCTCTTTCTTGTTCTTTTACCATGAAAATTCAGTAACTCCAACGAGATATTTAAAGCATCATCAATGCCCATAGTAACAATCAAAATATTCAATATCATATAAATATGTATATTTTAATAGAAAAAAAATCTTTGCTGATCTTTTTCTTTTCCTGTCTCTCAATAACTAAACGAATAAATGTCAGATAGCTGCACCGAAGGAAATAACAAAAGAATAAAATAACAGAAACCAACCAATAGCAATACTTTTGTACTACCACATAGAAACATTACCGATCAATAATGCTTGTAACAAAATATGTATAATAACATTTGACAAGGATTTTCTTCCTCTCCCTTCCTCTCTACATAATCAACGTACTCTCCTCTTTCTTTCTTTACGTCTTTTCTAACTTTCTGTAGGAACTTAAAGGGTGCATCTAATATTCTAAGCTTATAAATCTATGATAACTTAACGGACAACAACAAACGAATATATCTTGCTTCCAGCAAACGTAAGCACGAAGAGGTAACGAATAATTTGTGATAAAGGAAAATAGAAGACAAGAAAAAGTATCAGAAGACAATACAAAATGTAACGTTGAATAGAATGAAGCATTGTCTTTTAAGAAATTGTGTTAATTAATTGCACACTGTTTTATCTCTTTTTCATCAATGAATTATCTTGTATCGTACGCGAAAGAGAAAACTTTGAACACTCGTAGTGCTGATACCAAAAGATATTCAGTGTAAGAAGAATCGTAAAGGAAAAAGAAGAGACTTGTAGAGACATTTAGACACTGAATTTTTGATAGTGTATATCGACGACGTACACAATCGTACATAAACGCGTGGTGCTATTGTCATCACGCGTTCTTATACGTAAAAGCAGAGAGATTCATTTTTTCTATACAAGATCATGTATCATCAAATATATGTATAAATATACTAATCATATTAATTAGACGGATTCATTTAATAATCATTTCCCATGGTGGGACATTTTGTTATTCGAGGCAATTCTTAAGGATGCCAAATAGCTGGTAGCTTGTCTATTTTAACGTGCTTCTATTAAACTGATCGTACTTGATGAATAATAGAAATTATTTAGAACGGCTTCGTTAGACAAGCCATTGTCAGCTGAAGCTTTCGCATAGATGAATAGTAAACACGAAATAGTGACAGCAATGCGAATTGCAAAATTACATATAAATATTGTCAAAATATTAACAAGTGTGTCCTTCTCGCTTAAAACTTATTTATCCATTTTTTGCCAATTTTTTCGAATTTTTTATAAAGATTTTTAACGCTTCCAGTCACAATACTGGTAAAAAGTTTTCATCGAACTGCACTGCACGAGCGTCACGAATTAACAACGTTGCTTGCGTTGCATTGTTACCTTATTTTGAAAAATGCCATCTGTCGACATTGAATCGCGTGGCGAATTCTAAAAATAATTTTTTCTTTTTGGTTTGGACATTGGAGCTTTTTAATTTATAAATTTTTGTCAGTCAGCCTTGTTAGCTAATTGAGCATTAATTGTATTAAATAGGAAGTTTGACTAGCTCAGAAGCAAGTTTTCATTTCTTTTTCATTTTCTCGTATACGAAGTTACTTTGATCCGGAAACAGATTTCAACTGTGCCGGTCTTAACACCAAATTCGCGCGAGTATTAGGGTCGACGATAATATATGTATATATTGAAAGAGAACTGTTTTCATTCTCTTCCTCTGCTATTCTCGAAATAGATCACTTCTCGAGAAAAAATAAAACAAAAATTCCCATAGGATTTCCAATGTTCTATGTTAATGCGAAGCGTATGCTTAAAATCCGACAACAATGAACGAGATGAAAAAGTTATTCATCAAAATCCTCACATGACTAGAACATCTTTGCAAGGAAATACAAAGATGATCGTACAACAATTACAGTACGACAATGAAACACGGAAATTGGCTTAAACACTTTTCTTGTTCTCTGATATGTTATACTTGCGGTCTTTGAGATTGATCACAACGACTGTAATGTTATCCAGAGATCCTCTGCAACAGAATTTATATATCGGTCAAACAATATTCATTGAAATCCGCGATTAAAATCTCAGCCAGGAAACAAAAGGTACCTGTAATAACTTTGCAGAGTAATACTCTTAGCTCCATAATGCGGTTCGTTGATACGTTCCTTAATAAAAGAAATAGCTTCCTCATTGGAGAAGGTGTCCCAGAGTCCATCAGAAGCCAACACTAGGAACATGGGATTGTGATCGTCCAAATCAAACGTCAGAATATCCGGATCAGCTATGACTAGTTTTTTATCCTTTAAAGGATAATCTCCAAGAGCTCGAGAAGTGGCAAGGATGCCGGCAACTCTCCATACTCCGTTAAAAGTGACGTGTCCACCGGCTTCTCTTATTCGTTTTTTTTCTCTTTGCTGGATATAGAATAGAATTATTCATTTTTTCAGTGATATTTTTAACAATTTACATTTACTGTAAACATTATTTACTGTGTATCTACCTGCTGAGGTTTATGATCGAAAGACAGTGGTATTGCAGTACCCTTGCCATCGCACATAACTCCACGTGAATCGCCGACATTGGCCACAATTAATTTATTACCCTCCAAGAGTGCTATTAGTGCAGTTGTACCTGAAATCCATTTATAAATTTATTTAACAATTTTAAAATTTAGATCATGAGTCACAATGTGCTTCAAAAATGTAGAACATCAAATTTAGCAGTAAGACCTTTATATCTTGATCAGTAGCGAGAAAAGTGTTTAATAATTACCAGCAACGTCCATATTTTTTTTAGCAGCTTCCACCAGGAGTCTGTCGACCGCCAGGACTTCGTCTGTTAGTAATCTAGCATAGTTAATCTTATCTCCATCCAGGTAACTGGCAGTGTCTACCTTTGGTGGTGGTTTTTCTCCAGGTTTGCTAGGTCTTACCTAATACGAAAAGAGTTACAAAATTTTATCTTTGTACAAATATATTCATTTAAGTTAATTAATTCATTAAGGAAACGCACCTCTCTAGTAATTGGTAATAATTGATCTAATTTTCGCAGCAATTCCGGATCTGTAACACCGACGATCTTTTTTGAACACTCATCGGTCTGCGACGTGCTCATGGTTTTGCGAAATGATTTTTTACGCTCGACAGAAATTCCATCTGTCTTTTCATCCTTTTTCGTATCTTTAATATTCGTTTCTTCCTCGTCTTGTTTAGTATTTGTCGGCCTGCCAGCTATCATAGCTTTCAATTCGATAACCCTTTTATTAATATTCGGGATAAGCTTATCGCGTGCATAGTTGGCTGCAAACTGTAGACAAAGATTAATATTAGTCTAATAAAAATATATATTGCATTTCTTTTCGTTGCATAATAATGTTTAACACTCATGAAGTTATGCACCGAGAATTATTAATAGGAAGGAATCAATATAACTTAGTAAATGGCGATCATTAGTGGTCGTACATGATTCCCCTGTTTCCTGCATATCCGTATTTTTCGGTACATCCTTGTACTATATAATTAATTATTTCTAATCCTCTGATCGGACGTCATCAGTGTCATCAGCTAAACTGCGTTTGCTCCAATGGGAGTCAGTTATTTACGATTTCGAAATTTGTTTAACAAACATTCCTGACCTTAGTCCAAATATATTGAGACTCGTATTGAATCCCTTACCTCGCCACCATGACCATCGAATACGGCAAACAAAGAGACTCCTGTGTTGTTAATATCATCATTTACTACGAAACGGTCTTCCATGCGCGCCCTATGGCCCTGGACAGCATAAGCAGCTACATATCCCTCTTTCAATTCCCAGCTCAGCTTTTCACCGTGACTTACGAGTTGCAGTTTGGATACCTGTGACAAGGCCAGGACAACATTACTAGTTTCTTCTATTTCTTCTTTGTCAAAAGCATCTAGGTCAATCATGCCTGACTCGCAACAAGTATTTTTTAACCTTTTTAATGACTTACGATGGCTGCCAAGAGCAGTCTCGGTTTTAAAAGATATGCAAGCACTATGCCGGCGTATCGTAAAGTGGATGAACGTTTAGAAATGATACTGTCCATCAAGATGAAGTAGCTGTGATGTCTTTTATACCTTAGAAGTGGATCGGCCAAGAGTGTACTGAATTCTTCCAAGAAGTGTCCTACTCCAAACGTCAACAGCCTGAAGGTAGACTAGCATTACAACCAAAACTGCGCCGCACACCAATACCTCAGGCTTTAGCGCATACGCTCGCATCAATCGCCAAAAATAACCCAGCGGCGTGTTCACCCCAGCATTCAGGCCGGTGGGTATCCCCACAGCAAACTTTGACATCAGCTTCATGTGTGATACGTATGTCTGTTAATAACAGAGGAAATACAGATGTAAATATAGGGCAAATTATGTGTCTCCTAATATATTTTGCCTTTTTAAGCTGTAACTGTATAATATACATTACAAAGAATAAGATGTTAAACCTTTTGGAAAACTATAATTATTACAGTATAATAATACATTATTTCTGAACTATCTGTTATGTTGCAGTAGAAGTAAGCAATTATATTTTTGGTAACATATGCAAGTAAATTAGGTATACTCAAATAATATAATTAAGTACCTTGATCTAAATATAAAATATTAGTACTCTTAGTAATACAAATGAATCATAACCATACTATTGTTAGCCAAATGCTGTTACTGCAGGTATTCTTTTTAGATATCCTATTACTCCGTTTTGGAGCCAACCGGAAAGGTACTGTCCAATATCTATTTCGTTTCGGGTTTATAGTGATAATTGATCCTGATATAATGATAAAAAATACATTTATCCTATATATTCACCTGATAGAGGACTCTATCTTCAAGTTCGTCGTCCATAATATCCTGGGAATATTCGCCCGGTCAGGATCCCCCAAAAGCCAGTTTCGCGGCGGACAAAAATAAGTAAAAAATCCTCTGATATCTTGAAACTTGAACTACGCAACGAGTCCCGCAGCAACGTCACCTTAAATACCAATGACGATTTCGTCTTACTCCACACAGCAACTTGAAAACCTGTTAGCAATAATTACACTGATAAAAATCCTTGTTTTTGGATTCCAAAAATGTAAATCAAAACATTTTTCGCGTCCCCGAGTACCGCGACCATACACTGTCATACACAAGTAATCTTCGCTGTTCTTATAGTCCAATTGTCTAAACTCACGCCTTCGTCACCCTACTGAACGCGCAAAATGGTATAACCCGTTCGTAATAACTCAAGCCACGTTCTTCTGATTGGTTATCCGAAAAGGTTAGTCATATTTAAATACATTGGCGGCTCTTGGGATTTTTTACACACACTCAAAAGTAATATAAGAAAAAATCCTAATTGGCGGCATTCTAAAATTATATCTAGTCTGTCTTCAACAGTATTCTTACCTTTTTACGGAGAACACCTGTACTTTTTGTTTCCACTGATACATATATTTAAATTCTATTAAAAATATTGTATTAGGTGAAATATCTATGTTCTATATTCGTAATGAGAAAGCAAAAACGCAATGATCCGTTTAGCGGAAATTTGGAAACTCCCCCTTGGAAAACTGTCAAGTGTTACGACGTGGTAGGAGACGTTAGGGAAACATGGCAGCCAAACAGCTACTGGAGTGCCGTGGGTGCGCGTGATGATTCCATTTGGTTTTATGTCGTAAACGGTGATGAGACTTCGGTGTCATCGTGAAAGATGAGCGAAAGAAAGTTCACCCGGGGCCTGGGTAAACCGGGCATGGCTGCACAACTCCGGGAAACCGTATCTCAGGTGGTTCGTGAAAGCACGGTCCAGGTAGGAACCACTGACACACGCTCTTATTATATTCTATATGATCGTATATGTATATATTCACACATGTCCCGGGTTATTTTCGGTACTGCTATGAATGGTAATTACGCAATAATTACTGGAACGTACTACGCAATGTACTGACCGGCATTTGATTCTATACCATAGGACACTGCATTATCGTTACTGTTGTATTTTTTCTTAACAATATCTTAAATTTGTTTATCATTCATAAACTTTTATAAAAAATTTGTTTCTCTTTGTGACATTGTTTTTATATCTTATATTCTAATAATTTTTACCTGTTGCTGAATAATTTATGTAATGATTGTGGATTGTCGAGCAAAACCTGGATCAGTGGGTTCTGGATTTTGATATTTCGAAGAATACATATTATTTTTCTAATCTCCCATTAACAGATATTTTGTTTTTTAAAGAACAAATAAGTAGTTATTTATGTATCTGTTTCATATTGCTTTAGTTTGCTGTTTGACATATTGTTTACTTTTTTGACTAAAGATCAATACATTGGTCCTATCTGTCTGCTATAGTGTCCTACTTTTTGTTATTTCTTCAGAATAGTTTTTATTATACAATTAGTCTGGACATGCTAATTAGGTTTAATTTTGTCTAATTTTAATTTATATTTAAGAGTACCATTTTTATCTATGTAATCATAGAAGTACTATTAATTTATTTCAGAGTAAACCACACCTAGTGGATCCAATAGATTTTGAGAGTTTTGTTTTAAAGAATAAAACTCTCTTACAAAATGATCCACAGAGGGAACTCTTGCTGTATCCACAGGATGATGTTTCGGTAAGTCACTACATTGATTGTTCTTATCGTATGGAGCATGCAAAATATCGTTACTGACTTAGATAAGATTTCCTGGTAAAATGCAGTATATATTTCAATGAGATCATCCAGCAAAGACTGATATAAAAATTACAGAAAAGTCTACAGTACTTACTCTTACTACAGTCTACTAACTACAGTAAGACTGGATAGAACCCATAGAGATTCTATTTATATCAAAGAGTAGATTTAGAAAGAAGGTTTATGTCATCAGAATGCTACTATCACATATATATTTTTCTTGACCTCATTCCGTTAAATTTCTACCGTTGTAGCGTAACACATACAACATGAGTTGTTTTTGAAAATGATAAGCCCTAGTAGTAATACTCCCACGCAGTATACTGATATGATTCTTGTATAAATCACTGATATAACATTCAAAGCTACATATTTCATTAAAAGAACTTCCATTAAAGAATGTAAAAAATACACGAGATATCCATTAACTATGCAAAAGCAACATTGCTACAAACTGAAGAAATATTTCTCTGGCATTTAGCAAGTGGTCCTGCCCAGACGGTATCGTACGGTTGTACCTACGGTTCAAAATGTTTCGGAAATGACTGATGGTGGTGAGAGTCTCCTCACAAAGGAGTGTCTACGCAGTTACGCATCTAATTGGAATCTGGTACACTACAAATATACAGCCTACAGCGGGACCCACCTTGACCTGCCTAAGTACGTTTGGCAATGCATTAAATTAGAGATACCATAAACGACTTTTAAAATGACATTTCTCAGTGCCAGTTCATTGGTAAACTGGTCATAAATTTTCCTTTATGGTTCAAGCAAGCAGGATGGATCTATTAAGGAAATTGTTCTTATTCTTTACAATCCAATAATAAAAGAAGATACGATTATTTCTAGGTACCCTAATTAAATAACAATGGATACAATTTTACAATCTTAAGATTATTTGAATACCGAATCAGGCGACAATCACCAACTGATGTGCATTGCCATACGCGATTCTAATGTATGCATTGTCGTTTCTCAGATTTTTTTTTTTTCTTATAAGCTCCGCATACCAGGTGTATGTACAAGTGGCCTGACGACTTAACAGAATCCCACGTAACCAGTTTTACTTATACTTTTCCATAAAAAGTCACCTTTACTCTTTCACCGTATGTCTGTCTGGTAGATACAAGAATATCTGAAATTGATAATGTATGCTATTTTTTTAATGCTCTCCTTAGTACTTCAGAACAAAAATGTTTACGAGGCGCTAAGAGTCTTATTGCACAGAAACTTTTCAAATTGATTTTATAACGAGAAATTGCAAGCATTACACATTAACAGCTTGACTCCCAAGCAGCGCGAACGCGCTGTTTAGATTTTATGTCGAACAATCCCAATATATTTGAACGCTATGGATTAAGACAAGCACTATCGGCATTTTTTGACAATGTATTTTCAATGACCCCTGAGTTTCAAACGGCTAATGAATGTCTCATATTAACCTGTTACTATCATTATAGTTGGGCAATGATTTTTCATTTGATTGACGTCACTTTATAGGATACCAAAAGCAGATGAACTGAAGGATGAGGTTTACGAGATCGATACGGAAGTCGATCAGGTTGATGAGGTAACTAAAGTAAATGACATCGTATTATTAATGAATAATAATTAATTTAAATTACTATTTATACACATTCGTCTTTGTAGTTGTGGCATTATTTAGCAGGCCGCATTTACAAACCAGTGAGAATGGTTAAACATTAGAAAACATCGTCTGTGTTTTTCTATAATGACAAAATGATATCTTGCAGTGACTTACATTAGTGATTCTATTTAATTAGGCAATGTTCAGCATCCTGTCATCATCGTGTATCACTCTAGTTTATTCAACGTAGTTCGCCAATCATTCATTCCCATATCTATGCACTACTTAGTTCCTCAATCAAAGAGGCACATGAATTTTTTCAGTTACAATTTTTGTATAGTGAAGTACTCTGAGAAATATCTTCACCAAAATAACTCTGATTGGTTATCATTTATTTTCCCAGGATCTTACAAAGAGCGATGGAATAACTAAGCAAGGATACCTAATGAAGGGTCCGGAGATTGGGAGCAGTGACCGGATGTTTGTCCATATTGGTTCAAAATCCTTTAAAAGACGCTTCTGTTATCTTCGACAAGAAGTCGATGGCACTTACATTCTGGAACTTTTTAAAGATGAGAAAAAAGGAGAGGCCAAGTTAACAATAGTAATGGACTTCTGTACTGAAGTCATAAGAAATCCAAAGCGCGGTCGTTACTGCTTTGAATTACGTATGAGCGGCACTCACAAATCGTATACATTAGCAGCGGACAATGAAACAGATTTGCAGGACTGGTTATTGAAATTAAGCTCAGTATTACAACATTATAAGCAGCAAGAAGAAAAGCGAGCGGCGTCTTTGGAAAGAACTTGCAATACTCCACCGCCATCGCCACAGCCCATGCAGGTGTGTAACACAGTGTATTAATAACTATTTTACATTATAATTGTATTTATACTAATCGTTTTTTTAACAGGTTTATGGAACTTTGAAAGGACTGGAACAGAGTATGAATCCTCAATTGATAAAATACTCTAGAGAAACGGACACCAGCATAGCTCTAGCTAGGAGAGAGAATAGAAAACGTTTGTTTAGCATGTATCCTCAAATACCTCATGTTAAAACACCTGTAGGAAACTCCAGCGAATCCAGTGTAGATCCATACAAAGAACAATTTGGTCACAGGATTTTTGTCAAGTGCGAAAGTCTTAAATTTAGACTCCAAGCTCCTATAGATGAGAAGGAAGCACTTTGTCAAGTCGAGCCGTATTATACAAGTCTCTGTTTATTCGATGCTAGACACGGGAGAAAGCTTACCGAAAATTTTCATTTTGATATTAATCATGAGGTTGTGCGCAATATCGTACATGAGTTAAGTCCCGTAGGTGTTATGAGTGAGAATCAGGAGAGTATTAAGTTACCTGATGAATTAAAGAATATAGCGCAAGAATGGATTATGTATCCCAAACAGGTATGATTTTGATTTTCTATTTTAATTGAGTTGTATTACTATTATCTTAATCTTATATTCCAGGCTATACTCAGTATTAGTAATCCTCATCCTGACATATTTCTTGTTGTGAGGATAGACAAAATTTTACAAGGTAGTATTTGTCAAACTTCGGAGCCTTATTTAAGAGCTACGAAAGATCCACGTCTTGGCCTGAAGGTACATAAGCAAGTTAGAGCGTGTTGTCAAAGGTAAGAATAAGAATAATGTATGCAATCTTATTGATTTGACACAACTCTTATTTTCTTATTCAATTTTAGACTGGGAAATTATAGAATGCCTTTTGCTTGGGCCGCAAGGCCTTTATTTCGATTGTACAGTAACGAGTTAGACACGTCTTCTGATTTCCCTGCTATATACAGACAAGAAGGGAACAAAATAAGGGATGATGAATTACTTAAGCTTCTCAGCGAGTACAGAAAGTATGTCTGAGAATTAACAAAGCATCGTTGCAATACACAGAAATAACACTTTCACCATTTATCCTTACAGGCCAGAGAAATTAAGTAAATTAACTGTGATACCCGGATGGTTGAAATTGAAAATTGATTCAGTGACGGACATTTTTGAAAGTAAATATAAAAACGTTACATAAACCTTAAATATTATTTTGTTATTTATAGTAAAAGGAATTAATAAAATTTCTCTACTTCCAGACACTTTAACAACAGCCCTGGCACCGCTGAAGCCATTCCCAATACCACCTACATCCGAACCAACCTTAGAAATAGCAGAATTCGAGGGTTCATCCGAGAGAGAGGTTCACCCTTATACAACCTACGTGAATCATCTTTACGTCTATCCTCAAACGCTGTGCTTCGATACCCAAAAGATATTCACAAGGGCCAGGAACATTGCCTGTATCGTAGAGCTTCGCGACGACGATGACGAGAATGCTAAGCCATTGAGGGTTGGTTGAACATTATCTCCAGGTATCATAACGTTCAAAACATCTGTCTAGAGCGTGAGCCCTTTTTTTCACAGTGCATATATGGAAAACCCGGTGCACCGGTTCTGTGTCTGAGAGCATCCTGTGCGGTTTTGCACCATAACGCAGTGCCATCTTGGTACGAGGAGATAAAAATGAGATTACCGACAAAGCTACACTCTAAGCACCATCTGTTGTTTTCTTTTTACCACATAAGTTGTGACATGAACAAGAAGAAAGAAAATGGCGTAGAGAATTGCGTCGGTTACGCATGGGCACCGCTCCTACACAAAGGCCGGTGAGTTATTTTAATTAAATTCAACGACTCCGCCAATCCCTTGGTTGACGTCCCAGCAGCGAAAAATTTTAGCAGCAACGAAGTAAACTGTCCCAATTGCACAAAGGTACAGAGTGTCATAAATATTATAAAGCTCGATTAATCTGCCTACGTGATTCGTCCTATGTCTGAACGTCTATCTCATTTACACATTAGCCAGTCTATTATCAAGCTTTAGTATAACATACAATTATTGTCTGTGATGTTGAGCAATATGATAGGTTATTATTCAGCAAGTACATACATACAATTGTCCAGTATATTCCGTTAGCATATAATGTGCTTAATTGATCAGGCTAAACGTGGATGTGGATACGAACGTTCAAGTGTTGCCTGTGGCAACACACTTGCCAGCAGGATACCTTGCCATTCAACCCCTTGGCCTGGGAAAAGGGGTAAGAGTAAGATCATGCTATTCAGTCACTCATTAATACACTTTGTTTTCGGGCATTTGCTTTATGCCTTGTAACCCGTTAGAATTGCATCGATTCACCATTTTTCACTTTTGCACTATATAATAAAGAAACATTCGAACTTTCACAGAATTACAGTGTCGTGGGAACGATATTGCGTACAATTCATTAATTTTTGCATACTCCATCCTTTTTCTTATTTTCTTCTTTAATCAGCTTTAATTCTAATCGATGCTATTTGACGGATTGTGTGGAATAAAGTCTAGGCCTTATAGCTGCGAGCACTTAGCGTGTGCGCGCAAACGGTTTTTCGGATGCAGGCATGGAGCGTGTGTATTTTTGAATTTATTCATCGACTTTAATCGATCATCTGATATGTGAGTTAATTATTTACTGTGGAGGTGCTTTGGTGCGCACTTTTAAAATGTTTTTCCTCGTGCGGTTTGCGGTTTTGGGTGACATTAACGCTTTCTAATAACACATGCATGACAAGAATTTTGGTCTATATACGTTTATCTGAACCATGTTTCAATATCCAATGCTGCAGACTTTTTAAGAATTTTAAAATTAATAATTGTCTGAAGATAGTTTCTAGGGTAGCCTTTTATTTGTCGATATTAAGTCGAAATTTATATTTTACTATTAGTAAGTTGATTTTATATTTCACGTTAAATTTTTTGGGCTTATGTTTTTTTCAAATAAATTTCATTAATTGCTCTTCAGTAAGCTTATTTAAATTTCTGTCAGGATATTGAAAATGGGATCTGAGCTTCTGATCATGGATTAATTGGATTTTCATCTCTCAGAACGCCGGACCAGACATCACCTGGATAGATTCCCAGCGACCGATATTCACAGTCGGCTTCCAATTAATATCTACTGTGTTCACGCGCGATCCTCATCTGCACAATCTATTCGCACATGCTGAGAGGATCCTGGGGACGAAACCATCCGCGATGCCGTCTGATTCTGAAACCTGCAAGATCCTCAAGGCTGCTCATGCTATACAGCTAGTAACGGCCATTACATTCTTGCCAACGATTTTAAATCAATTATTCACGTTACTTATAGTCACGAGTAGCGAGGAAGTTGGTCTTTATATTATTCGAGTATTGATTCACATTATAAATATGGTACATGAGGCCGGACGCAAGGAAATACTTCAGGCATATGCGAAGGTAGAAAAAGATGCAAACAAAAGTTAATTATTCCTTCAATAATACTGAGTATTTATTTTAAAAAATTTTTATTAATTCTTTTGACAGTTTGTCTTCGTCTCACCGTCGAAAGGAAACGGACATGCTACAGTACATGAGCAATTGGGAAGACATTTGCCAACTTTACTTCAGCCAAGTAACACAGACTTTTTGGTAGTGAACAAATTCATGCATCATTCCAGCTTCTTCTTTGATATCATGGTGAAAAGTATGGCACAGCATCTACTTACTACCGGCAGAATAAAGGTAAGTTCAATTTTCACCCATAACTTATCATTGCATATTAACTCTTCGAGTACACTTGCGGTCATTTTGGCTCAACAATTGCATGACCAGATGCTGTGCATGCTCTCTTGGCAAAAAGGCGTGCACTCGAAGGGTTAAAAGAAATTTTTCTCATAATTCAATTGATTCTGTATTACAGATGCACAGGAACGAACGATTCTCTAAGGAGTATCACAGTAAAATAGAAAATCTCTTAGAAGTAATAACACCATACCTCATGAACAAGTACAAAGAAATGCCAGTGGAGACGCACGAGCTAAACAAGAGTCTTGCTCATTTTCTAAAGAGATGCCTAACCTTTATGGACCGTGGCTTTGTCTTTAGATTGATAAATTCATACATGGATAACTTTTCACCTGGCGATCAGCGAACTCTTCATGACTTCAAATTTACATTTCTGCAAATAATTTGTTCTCACGAGCATTACGTCTCTTTCAATCTACCAATGATGCAGTCGCGTATCACTACACGTGGTAAGTTTGTCTGTTATCAAATTGCACATATTATCTGTACATTTGTAATATAATCATTTTATGCCTGGCTTCGAAGATACAGAGCGAGAGACCGATTGTGATGGTACGTGCCATGTTCATACACTCCCGTCTTTATTGTGGTTTTTTCATGTAGCCATAGTGAGTGGGAGTACGAGCACAATCCTCTTTATATTAAAGTATTGATATTAGATTAAGAATACCTGAGAATACAGTATAATTAGAAATTAGAATTCACTCCTAGTACCTCATTCCTCGCAATTTGTTATCGCACCACTTGTGGTCAATACCGATTCTTCTATGTTCACACGTCCATTTTGAGTACAGCACCTTCAAGCAATGTTAGACAGGATATTGCGTATATACGTTTATATCTATTCCCTATCTATTGCAGATCTAATGAACGAGTATTGCCTGTCAGAAGAATTTTGCAAGCATCATTTTTTGGTGGGACTGTTACTTCAAGAAGTGAAAATGTCTTTAAATGAGATTGTGCAAATTCGCAAAGTTGCTGTGGCTACTTTAAGAGATTTAATGGCAAAACACGAGCTGGATGACAGATATCAAAATAAGGTATAATATTGTTTCTGTCATTTGTTGAGTATCGACCTTTAAGTTGTACTAGTATAAATATCTGGAATATTTAGGGTCAGTTGAGTAGAATAGCCTCCATCTACATACCTTGGCTAGGAATTGTCTTGGAAAATCTACATCGTTTACAATCAGTCAACGATGGCGTTAAGGCAGATTCAAAACAGAATGCTTCAAATAGAATGTCTACCAGCAGTTCCTTCCTGGCAAGTAAAGACACAGCTACTAATAGTACAGCCAGTGCAGGAACACCAAAATCACTACACAGGTAATTTAAGTAAAAATGACTGCTTAGCAGAACTTCTTTTTAATTACCAATCGTTATATCAGATTTACGCTTCATTTGGATACGCAATCCCCTATTAGGGCTTCAATGCACCTTAGAGATTCTACGTACTTCGCAGCCATTGCTGGTCAGGGTCTAGTTAATGGATACTCGTGTACTAGTATCGAATCGGATACCTCAACGATGTCTAGTGCTTCTCAGTCAAACATATCTCAGGAAACAACTATTGTACGCGAAGCTCTCGAAAATGGGAATGCCGAGCGAAAAACTCATTCCAGATCATTGAGCGTGACACAAACGTCATCGAGATGTGACAAGCTTCAACCATCGGAAGTCAAGGATCTTTTACTTTGCTTCCTATTTGTTATGAAGCATCTGGGTGACCATCAGATCATTGCGTGGTGGCAACAGTGCAGTGACACTGAACTTCTTAGATTCTTCACTGTCATTGAGTGAGTATTACGGAATAATTCTTGCATGGTAAATCCTAAAGATTTCGTTTTATTGCAATTCTCACAGTCATTCATGTTTCTTCTCTTTTTTTTTTTACTGCAGAATGAGTATTTATCACTTCAAATATATTGGTAAGAGACAAATAGCAGCTAACGCTGCTACTAATTCTGGGAAGCCTAGAACTGTCAAAGCTATGACACTACCTGCCAGAATGGCACCACCAGATTTCTCGACTGACAGTCCTGCCACTGGCACTTTACAGCCACACAATACTGCAGCCCGAGAGAACTTAGTGGATAATGATAGTGGAAAAGTTTATCAGGCTATTTTAGATGCTAATATGACAACTGAAGTGGGTCTTATAGCATTGGATTGCTTGGGATTATTTTGCATTCACTTTAAGGTATACCTCGTTCTAATTCAGGTACCTTGTACGTTTTCGTATAATAAATTTACTGACAGCTCTCCTGCATTTCTTAGGATGCACTTCTAGCTGGCGATGGAGATAATCCAGTTATGCAGAAGGTCTTTGACATTTATTTGTCGTTCCTTCAACTTGGACAATCTGAAACGTTATTCCGCCATGTCTTCGCCGGTCTTCGAGCTTTCTTGAACAATTACTCTATTGCCTTATTTCAAGGTAGATATCGTACTTAATGTGAAATATCTATAATCAAATTCTTAATGAGTTTTATTTTGTTTTTAAACACCTATTACACAAACGACAGTCTCTCGCGGATGAGCTCTATTGTTAGTAAGTGACAGTAGACAATTAATCAGCGGAAATAAGGAACAATAGGTGTTTATAGACGCGGGCTCGTTATTAACTTTACAACAGCCTATGGAATTCACTATACAGCAAGGTCTTCTCTTTTTCAATCCAGGCAATGCGGTACTTTGCGGTCGTCTCTGTTACGAGTTACTACGCTGCTGTAACAGTAAGCTGAGTTCTATCAGGCAAGAATCGTGCGCTCTGTTGTATTTGCTTATGAGAAGTAACTTTGAATTTACAAGTAGAAAAGGATTGACGAGAGTGCATTTGCAAGTGAGTGAAACAATATTTCAATTCGGAAAATTGATAAGTGTATAGTATTGAGGAATATAATCTTTGATTGTCTTATCTGTTTCTCAGGTGATAATATCAGTCTCCCAAATGCTGGGGAACGTTATTGGACTTAATAATTCCCGTTTTCAAGAATCCTTATCGTTGATAAATAGTTACGCATCTTCTGACAAAGTCATGAAAGGGACAGGATTTCCGGTTGAGGTTAAGGATCTTAACAAGAGAATCAGAACTGTATTAATGGCTACAGCACAAATGAGAGAGCACAATAACGATCCAGAAATGTTGGTGGACCTGCAGCACAGTTTAGCGAATTCATACGCCAGCACACCGGAACTAAGACATACGTGGTTGGAAACGATGGCCAGAAATCATGCGCGGGATGGAAACTTCTCTGAAGTTCGTTATACTACGACATGTTAATATTAATTGTGGTAATTATTTTAAATATATCTTATTTTTCATTTATAGGCGGCTTGCTGTCAGTTACACATAGCTGCACTTATGGCGGAATATCTAAAGCTAAAAAAAGTTCATTCCTGGGGTGCTGAAGCATTTGACAAAATATCTGTCAATATTTCCAGGGACGAGCGTGGACTGAAGCTCGATGCTGGTGAGATTTGTATGTCTTGCACATGTTTGTTTCTGCATTATCCAACACAAGTACGATTAGGGTAGTGATTAAGAAAAAAAAAGTCAGCCTCCCTTAACAGTTGTCACATCCTATGCATGTTAGAAGAATGATTCTGAGTGAGCATCCACTTTGTTGTGCAGTGTGGTAAATGTCTTGTTTTTGTATTACAGACTTGGGATCACAGTTTGCTGGTGTCTTTGATATTTTCGTACGCCCCGGTAGCGTTCCTTGTATTATTGTATTGTTACGCTTATTATTTGCTTGACATTTTGTGCTTAGTCCTTTATTAATGACGTTATCTGTATATAGAATTAAGAATCATATTATTTATTTTAGGCGTACAGGATATTCATTACAATGAATGTCTTCTACTGGAACAGTTGGAAACTTGCGCTGAGATGCTGGAGAAGGCTGAACGTTTCGAACTCCTTGGACATCTTTATCGTTTAATTATTCCTATGTATGAGAATAAAAGAAATTATGAGGCCTTGTCAAATTGCTATACGCATTTAGCGCAGGCTTGTAATAAGGTCGTGGAGGTCAGCAAAAGTGGAAAGAGACTCCTTGGCAGATTTTATCGGGTCGCTTTCTTTGGAAGTGTAAGTATATTTGTATTTTTATTTGTTAGATTGTAGAATTAATTGAATCGTCTATACAGGCTTACTTTGAGGAAGAGAATGGACAGGAGTACGTTTACAAGGAACCGAAAGTAACATCCTTATCAGAGATATCGGAACGTCTTCATCGTTTACATTCAGAAAAATTCGGTGCGGAAAACGTAAGAATGATTATGGATTCCGTACCCGTGGATATAAGCGAATTAGATACCAAGGCAGCATATATCCAAGTGACACACGTCACTCCATATTTTGAAAAATATGAATTAGAAGCACGACCAACAGAATTTGAACAGAATCACGATGTATCCTGCTTTATGTTTGAGACACCATTTACAAAGGAAGGAAAAGCCAGGGGTAACCCTGAAGATCAATGGAAGAGAAGAACAATCCTTACGAGTAATATAAAATCTTTCAAAATCCTCAAACATTCTCACTTTCTATTATTTTATTTCAATACTCTTACTTCACAGCTGAGTACTCCTTTCCATATGTCAAGAAGCGAATATCAGTAACAGAAAAAAGAATAATGGAATTGAGCCCCATCGAAGTGGCTTTGGATGAGATGAGACAGCGAGTGCAGGAATTAGAAGACGTAGCCCTGATAGCACCAACCGATGCCAAGAAACTTCAATTAAGACTTCAAGGAAGCATATGCGTAACTGTAAATGCAGGACCCCTAGCCTACGCATCAGCATTTCTGGACCCAGCACTTTCACCACAATATCCAGATGACAAGGTAGAAGAACTAAAGGATGTCTTCAGGTAATTACGAGAATTCAATCATAAAACAAAATCTATAATTCCTACAATAATGATCACTTTAACTTTTTATTACAGAGAATTCGTAAAGATTTGTTATACAGCGCTGCAGATAAACAGCAAATTGATCACGTCGGATCAGCACGAGTATCAGGAAGTACTTCGTGAGAATTATCAAAAACTTTGTCAAAATTTATCATCCTTGCTTGGAGAACCAGTATGGCCTGACGAACAAATAGGAAGTTGGAAGCGCAACAGCGCTGCACTTTTTAGTGCTATTAGTGGTGCTAATAATCATACTAGTACCGCCTAAGTCAAGACTTACCGGTTAACGGGTATCTAAAATAGTATCGTCCCAGGTATGAATAATCATACACAAATATATATACATATATAGATTTATATATAGTCCCAGTTTATATAAAAAGCAAAAAAGGTACAAATTATATTTCTTTTAACCTCGCTTATTAGTTTCTTGCTAAACCGCGCAGGCGCATAACATTGCGAACTGTGCCACTGTATTATTTTATATTACAGTATCTAATGTACCGTGCTTTTCAGCTATAGCCACCAGCAATTAGTATGAAATTTATACATTTTATATTATATTTAATAACTAATATCAATTTGCTCTCGCGCTAGGCTGATAAATTCTAGTTAGAATAATTTTTCACGTTCTCTTCGATATTAGAGAATGAAAGCGAAGTCCCGTACCAACGTGTAAATCGATAGTGCTACTTTAACGAGATAATAATATTAGCCAAATTGTCTGTGAACTTTGATAGAGTCGGGATTGAAGAGTAAATTGTGAAATTCTTGTTCGTTTCTGTATTTCTATTTTTTTTCTTTTCATTTTGGAATTCGTGGAATACACGATTGCGGGAAATGCGTGTGTTAACTGGCTCGTGATAGCGCATGTGGAACTAATATAAGTTAATTTAAAGTTCCGATAAACAAGCGCCAATTAAACAATTATAACGAATAAATTGATGCGATGCTTTGATTGGACAGAAGCTGTGTAATGTATCGGCGTACGTGCGTACAGGGTGTCCGGAATGAAAGTGATAGTGAGGAAACGTCTCGCCGTGTTTAATCAATTGATAATTCACTGAACGCCCAGGTATGCCAAGAAGTGATAAGAGAGTATTATAATAGGATTGATAACGTAGAGACACGAACCTAGGTAATTGGCCGGAAGTAAAGAGATAACACTGCCGTAATGTTCAAGTAGGGAATGAATATAGGTATGCAGGATTTGGTCCAACGTGTAAATTTATTTACGTTCACGAACTTGTAAATTTTAACGACTGACTATAGAGTGATTTTTTGGATTCTTCTTTCTCTCCTCTTATCCGAAGACTTTTCTTCTTCTTATATGTTGTTCTAGTATGCTAAGTCGTGCGTGGTTATTATACTATGGAATGGAAGGGATGTTAAGAGGGATTTTGGCGATTCTATTATCTTAAGGAGGTAGGAGCGTTTCACGCTAGTCAAATCAGTGCTAAATTTTGATAATCGTCTTTGTAAAATTTTATGCATTATGTAACAATCGTTGAATCAATCGTTGATTGAATTGTAAAATATTCAGATTGATTCTAAAATAATCTATAATTCTTTACCGTTTTAAAAATACAAGACCGCTTATTCTGTTTCTCGAAAGATGCTCTACAAATTGATCGTCTAAGTATTGAATAGTGCTGATAGGAAAGAATTCGTAAAGGATTATTTAAGAAAAGGTTAAAATCGATAAAAAAATTACGGATTATTCTTCGAAAAGAATTGAAAAAAAAGTACCTCTTCGAAAATCGATATTAATCAGGTAATGTTATTGTAAATTCATCGCTACGAATGTGTCTATGGGTTATGGGCACATGTTATAATACAGTAACCCTTCACTGCAATCAATTAATCCATAAAACTTTGTAAAAACGATAAAAAGTATTTAGCACTAATTTGACTAGATTAAGACGCTCCAACCTTCTTAATATTAATCGCAATAACAATAAGGAAGCAAAATGATATTTTACAGAAAATTTATAATCCTACTTAGTATATTTAGATAGGTGAACGCGTGTGGTGGGGCATTTATGTATGGACAAATTGTATATGAATTTATTATAAGTTTTTTTTTTGTATATTTCAGCACCTTTATGTAATAGATTTAATCACACAGAATGTACGCATGCGCGTATAGTGTAAAGAGAAGGGTAGTGGGCGATTGGAATCGTCCTCGCATTATTACAATTAATTGATATTTATTATATTCTCTTAGTTAAGGTGATACGACTTGTCTATTAAATAATTATTATACGTCATTAAACTTTAGGTAATGTTTTGACGTATTTCTTCATTCGCTCCAATTAATGTTCTAAATTCTGAGCTTTTCTCTCTCTATAAATGATTCGTTATAAACAAAGTTTGTGATATGTCTTCTAGAGCGTAAATATAAAAATTAATATCACGCGCTCCCTTCTCTGGTCATTGTGACACCAAGCTTTTATTTGCGCTTCTTTTTTTCTTTTATATTGTTCAGCGATATCATGTAAATATACAGTGTCGGGTGCAGAATGTTTTTATAGATAGTTTAGCATAATGTAAATTCGGGATGAATTTTATTTTCTTCAAATTCCAATTCAGAGCTCTCGTCCACCAGTGTGAAGCCCGCGCGGATATAATTGAATTTAATATAACGTTGTTAATTTGAGACATTTACTCGAGTGTTAATTAATTGTGTATTACGAACGACTTTATATGTATAAAAAAAAACAATGCGTTGACGCGAAACGGCGCTTTCACGACGTTGACGTAGAATATATTTTTTTCTTTACTTTCGCTTGAAATATCCAATGTTTACATTATGTTGATTATACAATTTTATTTTTTCACTTTAATCCGATCCAAAGATATCGGCCAGATTTAAGAGTCTTCAATATCGAAGATTTGAATGATGACTTTATTTGTTTATATTGGTATTATTATTATCATCATCTTTGAGGCGCAAACTGTTCGATCGTAGAGTGAGGTGTTTTGATAGAAATGAAATAGAAAGTGGAATTTTTAATTAGAGTGGAATATGAGTAGAAACTATATATATACAGTGAAAATGTATATGCGTAAACGCATATGATACATTAATCCAATAAATACGAAGTCTCATTCTAACGTTACACCGATAAGGCTGACTTAAAACATATACACGATGATGCTTATTTACGAGCAGAAGAATTTATGACTGTGTACAATGTAATTCGTTTGCCGGACGTGTCTCCGTAGATAATAGATTGATAATATTTACTGGCAACATACAAACAATCAATCCTCATGGGTTTGACGTTACACGTGTTAATCGTAAGAAAATGATAAAATCTCCAATATACTTATTGTATCTTCAAACTAACTATTAGGGAAATGAAAACAATTGAAATACAATAGACTGTCAATTATAAATTCATCAATTAAAGTCAGACTTGTGAAACATAATTCGTTCTAAGAACAAATAACCTGCCCGTTGTGATTAGAAAATGAGGGAAAAAAAGTATTTTCAGTACATTACATTAGCTACAAATTTGCATTGAAATTGCATCAAGGTATACCGGTGACTTTTTGATGTTGAATTTATCGATTTCTCGTTAACTCCCATGAAAAACCATATTGGATGTTGTATTTGTCCTCTGGTACAGATTACCCGTAGATTTATTACCAGTGAAGTATCATCGAGACCAAATAAAATCCGACCAAAATTCTATTATTATCTTTCTACACTTTGAGAACGCACAAATAAATTTTAAGGGATATTGTACGTCAGTCCGAGGAAATAATTCTGAAACTTGCTGTTATTACGTTCGTAGAATAACGAGTAGTGCGATTGTATTATGGTGATGATTAACGTTAAGTGTAGAAGGAAATTCAGTCGTCCAGTTATATAGATCCTCTGTAATAATATTTATTGGCAATTATTAATTAGGGCGACACCGTAACTGCACGTTACTTAAAGCTATATACGGTATATATAGGCTTGAGGAACGTGTACGCATTCTTGTGTTTAATTGTTTTATGACGTGTACGTGACGACTTTGAAATTTCTACATTTATTACAATCGCTGCTTTTTTACTACCTGGTATAAAATCTTTGTTCGTTTGTAAAGGCGTCCAACTCGATGTAATTATGTTTGCCCAATTAATCGGTATAGTACTCTGTATTTAGTATTATATTATTATTGAAAGTAATTGTATTTATTAATGTACCGTCTCAAAATAAAACTCAGTATCACGAAATGTTGGTTATAGTTCTTTTATTCAGGGTAGTTGTAAGATATATGGCTAAAATGTTTTGTAAATCATTGTAAATAGTAATACCCTTACAGCGAGTCGTGGGAAACCCCTTTAGAAAAAATGTATATGCTACTTTATACCAATGATGAAGTAACTTTGCACGTGTATGATACAGGGGGTGGAACATAGACAGGTGGTAACTATTGTACATGCCGTCTGCTGTCATCAGTTTCAATTAGTTGTCAACTATTGAACGAAGTATCAGAATCAGATGGAATGAAATAGAATGTGAAAATAGAGAGTACTCTCTCCAGCATCCCTTCATTCGAAGGGATAACTTGGGATAACTGATAACTTTTTTATTATATTTGTTATTTATTTATAGTCTGCAAATAATATAATTTTGAAAAGAAACCGCGCTACTTGTGTCGCATGGTTATTACAAAAAATCAGTAGCGTCAACAATGTACCATTAAATATTTTTATAGTTAAAAGTTTGTATTTTATATATTTTATGATTCTCTTAGAGAAAAAATATATATTTTCTTGAAAATTGTGTGATTACATATTGAAAACAAGAATAAATATCACATGGAATAACATTTCCGCGAAAATTCTTGTATCTTATGAAATTCTTTGATAACATTATAGATGGCGCTGGCGTAGGACGCGCAGCAAACCGACCAATAAGGAAAAAGAAAGACACATAGCTGTGAACAGTTGGAGAGTGCAACTATAACTCAGTGAAGAGAAGCGTAAAATTTGATTGAAAACAGTATAAATATATTTTGCTGCAAACAGGTGTATATTTCTTTGAATAAAATTATCCAAGTCAAAAATGACTACCGCAGCGAGGCCAACATTCGAACCAGCCCGTGGAGGACAAGGACGTGGTGAAAAAGATTTGAGTGCTATATCAAAACAATATAGTAGTCGCGATTTACCTTCGCATACAAAGTTAAAATATCGGTAAGATACTTATTAAATAGTCGTCGATATTAATAGTTTTGTTTATTATTATTTGTATGTATGCGTTTGATATTTGGATCTATATATTTATGAAAATAGGTAACATAACCTATACTTCTTTATGATGAATATTCTCTTTTGTATAGTGAACATGGTCAGGGAACTATTGAGGAACTGCGCAACCGTGATTTCCGTAAGGAATTGGAAGAGCGTGAGCGAGAGAAGGACAAATCCTCTAATAGGCGCATGATTGAAATCGCCAGAGAAGCTTTGCCACCTAGTTCCAAGAGACAGAAATTGGATCAAGTTCCTGCCGCTAGCTTGGATGCTGATGATCCTCTTGACGAAGATGAATCAGATTCAGACAGTGAAGATGATGATAGTGCTGCAATCTTTGCGGAGCTAGAAAGAATCAAGAAAGAACGAGCAGCAGATCAAGCAAAAAGAGTATGTTATACATTTATAATATGACAGTGTTATAGAATTTCTGAATATATTGTAACTCTTGATATTTGATATAACAGGACATGGAAAAGAAACAAGAAGAGGAAAGAATAAGGATGGAGAATATTCTCTCTGGAAATCCTTTACTGAATTATTCTTCCCAGACTACTCGCACTGACATGAAGGTCAGAAGAAGATGGGATGATGACGTTGTCTTCAAGAACTGTGCGCGTTCTGAGCCAAAGAAGAAGCAGGATGTCTTTATAAACGACTCTCTGAGAAGCGAGTTTCATCGTAAATTTATGGAAAAATATGTGAAGTAAAAACTGACATTAACAATACGAATGACAGAATACTATTCTTAAACAGAATAACATTGATCTATTGTGTCATGTATGACAATGCTATTCCTGATCTTTGTAAATAATCTTAAATACTTTTTATTTTATCATAAGAATGAACTCTTAACGTTCCCAGTTAAATAGAATGCCATTCTTACATTCAAGTCACCATGCATCCTTTCCAATACTATCCAGCTACGAACAAGGTTTGAAGTCATTGTTTATTATACTCTCAATTAATCTACCCTAAAGGAATGCGCCTATCTTATAGAGAGGTCAGTTAAATGTTTTTCACATTGAAAAAATCCTCGAGGGGGCTCGTCTGTTTATTTGTCCTTTTCAAGTGGGCAAACTTGCCTCTCGTTTGATTATATTTGTACAGGATCCTCACATACTATTAACAGCTTGCTGTTAACTTCCCTCAAGAAGTCCCTACACCCTTTGAAGGCTTTGACTCTTCCTGTTATATTCTGTATGAATAAAACGATGAATGAACCCTTGGGATCATTCACACGGCTCCTTACAAGCGATAAGAATATTTTATTCATTACGTAATAATCTATCTCTATTCGTCTAATGAAAAATGAATATCCATTAACAAACTGATAACCCAAAAAATTCCATTCTTATTACATACATAACTTGTAAATACTGGATGAAGAAATATAGAAGAATTTAATAGAAATTCCTACATTTCTAATTATACTTAGTATACGTATCTGACACTATATGAATTACCTTAATAAATAAGTTAGACCATACCGCAAGACAGGACTATCTCGTTTGATTTTATTTGAACGGGGAACCCCCCGGGAAGGTTCGACAAAGAGGTCGTTAAGTTCTTTGTATGTAAAAATAAAGATAAAAAAGTGGAATTGAAAATAGAAATAAAGGTGTCGAGACGACTGCATCGGCATCAGGATCGGGGCGGCCTGGTGTTTCGGTAGCGGTCCGATCCGGTCTCCCGTGTGCGAGTATAAACCGCTGGGTCAAGTATAACCGGTCCCAGGGTCCCGACCGGCGCGAGTGCCAGAGGCAAGCAGTCTACCGGTGCACAGCTGGTATCGGTAGACTCCCTGGCACCGACCTGGCCAACAGAGAGAGCCAGCCGGGCCCCACCAAGAAATCAAGGCAAACAGAGATCATGTAGAACGCGCGCGCACATCACACACATGTACATATACTTATCAGTATCTTCTCTCTATCCCTATCTCTCTCTTATTCTCTTGTTCCATTCTTTATTTTCTCCAGGCAAGATTCTCGTTCCGACCAAGAGAATTTGCTCCTCCTTCAACTCCGTATCTCATCCCCACTGATCTGCTCTGTGAATTTTTCTTTTATTTATTTATTTACCTCCTATATACATCCTCTATTTACTTTATTTATTATCTTGGTCCATGCGCGCGCGAGCACGCCTGCTTGGCTGCCTATCTGTCTGTCTTCTCTTCCTCGCGAGTCCTCCTGGGTAGCTACGCGATGATGCCCGTCCACCAGGGCTGTAGAACGACCTGACTTTCTTTTACTTCATCTTCGTAGTCTCATTAATTATGAAAATTCTCTTTTCATTCTTACACAAGTTACTAGGATTTTTTTTCCAACTTACCAACCCGTTCTACGCTCACCACTTTTTATTAATTTACTCATCCTCCTTCCATACGTCCATCTTAGGCATTTTATCAGAACCAAGAACGCACTTTGTACCGTGCTCCTTGGCAATTGCCTTTTTATTCCTCTTTATCCGGGTTCCACACGGTGCATCGAATTCCACCCAGGTTACCAATACGAGAGTCCGATTCACTTTCACCATAACATCCTGGTCAATGCTGTATAAACATGCATTTTGAAAATAATTAATGACACCTTTTTTCAGCGCGCCTTTCACCGTATTCAAATTAAAGAAAAGAAAGAAAATGGTCTGAAGTCTGTATCAATAGAGTCAATGAAAGGTAAAATTCATTTCTTGACTAATCGCACCTGATACCACAATGAATTCTGATCTGTGTTGTGTTTCATGTGTCGTAGATCATCGTCTATCACTACGTGGGGAGGAACTTCTTCGTCGCACGGTAGTTATGTTCACCAGCCCTGGTCGTTTGCGCCACTTTAGAGCAGAAACGGTGTACGCCTACCTCTTCGGCAGGGGCGGTCCTATCTCTATGCCCCAGGGACGTAGCTGAACGCGGTGAATTCGGGTGGCGGTACTGCAGGGGCACTGTAACAATACTTGAATGATTCTTCAGTTAGACATTTAACGATGTTCAGTCGGATTTTTTTTACGACACGTCGTAAGTCACCGCGCAGTATTATCTGACTGTCTCTTTTTTTTCTCAGGCTATAGTATTGTATCCACTTTATGTATATATACTATTGGTATAACGCGCACGACCCAGAGGCTCTTGACAAAATGAAAGTTGACGCTCGGATTACATAAAACGAGGATACGATCTCACCTTCGCTTCCTTACAGTCGACGTAGAACTTCCCTCAATTGTCAGGATATCCAATATCAAAACAAACGAACGAACTGGCAGACGCCCGTTTTCGCTCAGGAAGGTATCCCAGGTGTTATTCTTACCTGCATCTTCTACGAGGCTATTGTAACTCTGTTATACATTGTAGCACAGTATAACATGAAAATAAATGAATTCTGTTCCTTCTGGAAAAATCCATTGATAGAAAACGGCGCCGATAATGATGAATACAATTTTTCTACTTTTAGCAACCATCAATCATGATAGCTGTAGCAGTGTAGAGAAGTACAAGATCACAGCTACAAAAGCTATGAAACATTGGCTAAACTATTTAATAACAAACTTGTACAGAATATTGTTTGGTATTTATGGTATTACTGTTTTCAGATGTCAAAAGCAATGGTATACAGAAGCGCAAGAACTGATTGTGAATTTATATTAAGTAAATGAATATGGAACTGCCATAAGACATGGAACTGAATATGGAATAGAGGTAACTAATATGGACTATCAACATTATGATGAAGTGTTGAAAAAATGGGATTGCACAAGGTGCGCTCGTTCGAAGAGGATGGGTAACAAGGTTCGCTTGGTACGGTCCTGGGAGGCGGTGGTGAGGCCTCGTGAGGAACTGTACAGAGGTGTAGGTATGGGCGATCGGGCCAGACAAACAGACTCGCACTGGCATTGCAGACCCGCAGTGGTCACCGAGTAGTTAGTCAGTGGTGGACAGAACCGGGCGGCACCGGCGGCATACCGGGGACACTCATCGCGACGAGGACGACTTTCCAGGGAGTCTTCCGCCCCGAGGTGGTTGCGGTGTAGCAAAGACAATTGAGAGAGGGAAGAAAAAAAGGAATAGTAAGCAAATCATATATGAAAGAGGAAATAAAAAATAAGCGTAACACTCGGAGAATATAAATAAACAAGTGCCAAACTTGGGAAGGAAGTTAGCAAGAGATGGTTTCTAAGAGCGGAATGGATCTGCGTATTCCGGTACACGTGTCAACGTCTTCCTCCTATTCAGCTTCCACTTCCTCGACCTCTTACTCCACGTTTACTTCCTGGAGTCCACGTTTGTTTCTCGTACTCCTTGTCGGGCAGCTACTCACCCTGACCGATGGCCAACGGCTCAGTGGACTCTACGTGGACAATGGCCTCGATCAGACAGTCGTTCACAGGGTTGTTACCCAGCGTGAAAAGCGCGAAGTGGAGCACGAAATACTCAATCTTCTTGGACTACCAGACAGACCCAGGAACACTGGCGGCAAGGTGCCTCAAGTCAAGAGATCAGCACCCAAGTTCCTCTTGGATATCTACAAGAATACTCTTGGCGAGGACGAGGAAAAACCGGTCACCCTGCACACCCAGACGTCCGGAGAGTTCGACCTCACTGGCCAGGATCTCAGGGCCATCGACCAGAGCGATGTCATCATGTCGTTTGCGGCGCATAGTGAGTGATCCACGTTTATATTTACGTTGTTTACCACTTGTTTACATGTTACCATCGCTCAATACGATTTTCTTCTTTATTTTTGCATTTTCTTGCACCTCTTTTTACTTGCCGATTCTAACGTGAACACCGATGATTCAACCTCACTCGAATCATTTATGTATACGTATTTCCAAGATACTCTTTTCTATGGCTCCTCTTGTTTCGCTGTCAATGAATGATGCTTTCGCGGGTTTCCAATGAACGATATGACCTATCGCAAGGCCGATACGCACAGCACGTATCTTTGTACGACTCTGTGTAGTTGATGTACAGTATTAATGAAAGTGGCACGTATCTTTACAATGACTCTCTGTAAACTTCCTCTTGCGACGCCATAATCACTGGTTGTTGTGATTTTTATTTTAAGTCGCCATACACTGCCATTCTCTGTAGAAACAAATCTGCACTTAAAGTAACCTTTTGATGCATCATTTGAAAGAATAGTGTACGCGCAGACTACTGAGTGCAGCAGTAAGAAGTCTCAAGGGAATATGGAAAAATTGCTGAATTCTTTCTTGTCACATAACCAGGAAGGAAAATAAACATCAATATCAACAACCGTATATACAATGCGCCAAGGAAGAACCATAGAAACGTACACTTACTTCAATTTACTAATCTCTATGTAAAAGTGCCCTGGGCTAATGATTTTCTCATTTCTCATGTCTCACAAAGGATTTTACAATGGCGCCTGTAGTAACGGCGTGCCAGGTTGTTGGGTCCTTTTGGGCCAGTTACCTCTCAGCTCCGCGAGGAAGGTACAGTCATCACTAGCCCATACTGAAAAATGTATAAATTAGGAAAAAGAAAAATAAGCGCAATTTATTATACAGTTCCTGAATCAATGCGCAAGAAGTGTGACTCGTATTCTAAGAAATTCATGTTCTTATGTGCGTATATATATACACATACACGTATACTCGCGTCTCATTTCTTTTCTTCACCCTTTTTATTTTCTCCGCAGCTTCGACTCACTTTATATCTCCTTTACCTCTTCTTCTTCTTCTTCTTCTTCCACCTCTTGGGTTTTTTTTTTTTTCCTTACAAGCGAGAACGTTCTAGGCTCGGATGTGTGTTATGCCGTGCGGCATGCATATAAATTAATACCTATAACCATAACTTATTCGACATGTACCCAACCCAGTACTGGGAACTCTGTCGTTCGATAAAAACGGACATAAATTAAATCGCTATTACGTGTGCCTACCATGCCCAACGAGAGTTAATTGATTGGCCGAGTATACAGCATGTGCAATTTATGACCATCGTCTGTGCGAATTTCGACGAAATCTTTTGGTATGACTTACCGTGATCCCAGCTGGTCGATACTGATGGTAAGCGATTGAAAGAAGATGGGCTTCTGCTTTCTTTATCTCGAGTGTATCGACATTATTTTCATTAAACCTTATACATTGTTATTCCGATCAGTTGACTCTTGTTCGTTTGAGAATGCTCTTCCTGGTATGTGTATTTACAATTGCGCAATGCATACGCGACGGAAGGTCGCGCGGTATCTAGGTCCACGCCGATCTAGTTAGTAAACGTCAAAAATCCCTAGGCAAAGTATAGGGGAAAAACAAAATTGGTTTAAACGTCTAAATATTTTTCTTCGACAGTTTATATCACGTCTGACACGGTTGCGGCAAGAGTGACAGATGTTGAACATGGTGATTCAGTGAGAGGGAAAAATATTGCAGGTTAAAAAACTACTGAAGACCATCAGTGTAGCCGTGAATATGAAAATTGAGCTATTTTGCCAAATTCTATTAAGTTCCCTAGTTTGCATGGGTACCAACTGTGCCACCCATAGTGAATATATATATATATATATATCACCCAACGAAAGCCATCCATTTATTTATCTATCCATCTAAGAATCTATCCACAGTCCGGACAGTTGTACAGACGTGAGTACCAGAGCGCGGTCCATATATTACCAGAAAGTTTCACCGGGTGGGTCCCTCAGTTCCCAGGAGTACGAGGAGGAAGGTTTAAGAGGAAGAAGAAGAAGAAGTACCAGGAGGATAGAGAGATGAGTCAATATCTCTCTTTCCCGTGGAGTCAGGCCGTGGTACCCTATCCCAGGTAAAAATGTCTCAACTTGGGGGCCCGCGCGTTCGCCGCGGGCGCATTTCCTTCTTCTTTTTTTTGTTTCTCCTTTTCTCTCTCTCTCTTTCTCTCTCTCTCTCTCTCTCTCTTTCTCTCTCTCTCTCTCGCTCACTCACTCATTCTTCCCCCTCCATCAGCCTTCTCACGGGGGTCCCAGCTTCTAGGGAGGGTGGTACCCACGAGGAGTAACGAAGATGAGAAGATCAGCTAAGAAGAGACTGTTTCCAATGGAGTCTGTATTTGTGGACCCGTAAGAGCGTATATATACGTCACTGGAGTATCCTCCTCCGTGTATACAGTATAGAGAGGGTTCTGTGAGGGAGGTATATGGTATGAGACCGTATAGGAAGGGAGTAAAAAACAAAACTCTACTCCTCTTCTTCTTCTGGCTCTCCGGTGAGCAAGAGCATCGGGGGCCCCAGGATCGTCCCAAGCTATTCGGACCACCCCGAGTGGGGTTCCGCTCTCGCTCGTGGCAATCAGGTGCCGTTGGAATGCGGCCGTCCGAAAAAACAAAACAAATTTTTATGCCCTTATCCCCCGGGAACATTAGGCATTACTTAGCCTCCTGGGAGCTCATGGGATCTGCAGGATTTGAGAAGGAACTACGGTGTACGTACTATAGGCATGTACCTGTCTTTTTGTGTATGGGTATACGTATATATATATGTACCTAGATACTTTTACTAGGAGAGGACTTTCTATATGCTCCAAGTTATCTCAGGGTAGACACTGTGAAACTTTTACTACATACTTACCCCTCGCTTAAGAGGAAGATATAGAGTTTGGTCCGCTGGTGGTGGTAGTCATGGGGCCTTAAGGCCCGAAGGATACAGGTGCTTTTAAAAAAGGATGATTTCACGCTGCGAATTGTCCACGGCTCGTTATACGTTTCATTTATGGTGGGACGATTAGAGGGCTGTATTAATCCAGTTGGTTGGATGGATATAATGGAGTCTGTTAACAGGATTCGATCGTGTGTATATATTATCATTTATTTATCTCGTTTCTTATTTACTATTGCGACACCGTTTTTTTTTGTATTAATTATTTTTTTTTTTTATTCATCTTTGTCGACGGATTTTTTTTCATTTTTGACAAATTTTTTTTTTGTATATACATACAGTGATCTCTGTTCTAGCATTAAGATGAATTATTTTACGTGGCGAAGCGATTGAACTTTTCTTTGATTTAATGGCTGGTTTGCCTGGTCGTGAACGCCCGTCACGTTTTGGTCAAATCGCCGTGTTCAATCTCTCCACACGCCTTAAATGGGTTGACGTACGTGAGAGCTACCGATCACGTATCAGTCATCGATCATGACTTGTTTTCCTTTGTTTCGTGACTTAATGATAAGGTTTGTGGATGTTTATACACGTGGTAATATTCTTTTTGGTTTCAGATCACCACGTGGCCGGTGTCAGGCACGAACGTGGAAAGAGACTCTGGTTCGACGTGTCGGAAGTGCCTCCTGGTGAACACATAATCGGCGCTGAGTTAAGGCTGTATCAGAGTTCAGACATCAAGAACCATCGAAATCGTGGATCTTATATGATAACGGCTTATCGCGTTCTACGCACAGAGGATGGGTGAGGATAACTTAGTATATTGGTTATTTCGTTAGGTTAGGTTATCGGATGTGTCATCTCATGGAGAAAGGCTCTTTCGATAAGCTCAAAGGCTTTCGGTTAGTCAGGTTTGCTCTTGGTTGAGATTCTGGACGATCTATTAAATCCTTTTAATATTTATCAGTGATCGATGTTTGTTTTATTATCAGTCGAAGAGTCGTGGGAATTTTCTGTCTCTTTGGTAAGTCGGACCGCTTTCGTCAGCTGCTCTTGGTGCTTCTAGACCTAAAATCAAGATCCTGTTTAAGAGTTTGAGCCTCTAGCTATTTGTGGCGGATTCGAATGGTTTGGCGAATTACGCGGAATCTTGTGCTATTAAAAGTAAGTGAGGCTTTATCGTAGCGGGGGATTTGATATAGGTGCTTTCAGTTATGACTCTGCTGGAATTTAGAGTTTCTAGAAGTCTTATTGCTTATATCGTGATATACACAGCTGTGCGCGGGAACGACCTTCCTCAGTTTTTTCAGATTTTTCAGTTTTTCATGAAGACTTTTACGAAAATATATGAAAACAAGGAGAATTTGGTTGAAGTAGGTAAAAAAAGGAAATCCGTGTGAAACTAATGACCAGGGATCTGAGTATTTTAGTTTTCTAATAGCTAAGACAATCTTTTTTTTTTGTAAAAAAAATTTTTTAACGATTCCAAGAACTGAGGGAATTATCCCATGAAACAATTTTAACCTTGCACAACCTATGGTTAGACATGAAAATGGCAGCTGACTCCATATTCCCATAAGGCACAAGGAGAAAACGGTACTCCCGAGCAGTGGTGGGTGTAAGGGGGCCAATTTCGAATTTTTCGAAAATTAGCCTCGCCCGTAGTTTTGACATCGTCATTGTGTCCCTAATTAGGCGGTCCTTAGTTCCCTGAGAAATGCCAGGTATTTGTTCTACCTGTGAGTTCCAGGATGCTATACCTCAGGGTCGAGCTGGGTCCCCACAATCCCTGTTACCATTATTGTCTTATGTATAGGGAATTATTTTTTAACTCCAATTTTACACGCCAAATTGTCTCCGGCGGTAAACTCTTATTTCTTGGGTACGCGCGTACTACGACCTGACGTCGTACTAGGGGGACCGGGTCCGTGTCCGGCAGGAAACGCTATTCCGTAAATTGAGGTAAATTAGCCAAGGGGACGTCATTAGTCGCATGCTCACCAGAACTCGGGCATTATTTAGCCTACGCACTTACGCACGCGCGCGTCTTCCGTCAAAAGCGTGACGCATACCGTATACTCGTTCTTGACGAAGAATCCTGAATTTCATCGTGTCAAAAGTCACAAGGCCAAAAACAGACCCGATGACAACTTCACGTACATCGTTCGCAGCGTCCCGACTGTAGAGTCTTAGTAGTAACAGAGTATAGACATATGTACAATAACACAGACATCAGCCCATAGAATCTAAACAGGCACCATAACAGAGAGTAACCATTGTCTAGAATTTATATACGCATTTTAATTCTTATTGGCATCACGTGGATCCTCAGCATCAGAATGCATCCCAGATCTTGAGTCAGGTGAGAATTGTTCTACGGTTACTCATTATTCACTGGGGAGTGTCTGGTTGGATGTAGATAATTATTACTCAATGCCTGGGACATATCACGTGCTAGATTGATATTGCATAAGAAATTATAATCCTGTTTATCTTTGAATTTTTTACATTGGATATTACGGTTTGATTTTACTATTTTTTTTTTCTTATTATTTTATTTTTTTTTAGGGAACGAGAATTACAATATGTGGATTCCGTGAACACAACCACCGGACACGAGGGATGGTTGACGTTGAATGTCAGTGAACCTCTTCAACATTGGGTCAACAATCCCGATGGTAATCGTGGACTTTATCTTTCGGTTCATCCTGCAGATCGTTCGGGTTAGTATCTGATTTTTAATGATTTTTTAAATTAGAAATTAACATTGGTACCAGCTCTGGTACCTGGTAACGTGTTCAGGATCGAATATTTGGAATATCAAGATTGGTTTACATGAACCATACGTGGCGAAGATCATTGGGATCGATTTCTAAGTTTAGCTCGACTCGACCTCAGCAGTCTGTATATATAATCGTACTTGAGGTAACGTACGTAACGTACTGGGTAGGTCCTGTAGTTTCGTCGAAGAATTCGACACGGCGAATAATACAGACGATTGAATATCTCGACTGAATTTCCTCAAAGAAGCCATCTAACCATACCCGTACAATAATATACACCAGTGCGAAGATCATCTACAAAGAGGAGTCCGCACCTAGCCAGCATTCTGAATATCCAATCGCAAAGCTGCGAAGACGCTTTCCTAAATTCCACAATGACCACGTCACACCTGACCTTTGATAAAATTGCCAGAAAGCCTTCACGCGCGATAAAGATATCTGCAGGCAGAAAATGTGGTAACCATAAAGTAAGTAGAGCGAAGACAATAATTTCAATGAGTGTTAGTGCCCAAGGTTAATACATGAAGTAATTACAATGTTAATCAGCGTAATTGAATTCTCTATATTAGTCGGACGATCGTGAAGAGGAAAGGATAAAAAGTCAAAAGTGAGAATCCCTGCGAGGAAGAAAAAGAAGAAAATCTAACTGGACTCGTCGTCGGTGTGTTCTACCTACAGAATGAAGGAGGACACTGGTCGCCATGGTTAGACCCCCATAAAGAATGAAGATAAAGTTGCCTAGCTTCTGGCCCTTGGCTATGGGAATGTATAAGCCAGGACACGCGCTTACCTACTATGCCTTTAACGTGCATATAAGAGATCCCAAGCGTTCTTATGTAGATACCTATATGTATGAGAGGATATATATATATATATATATATATATATATATATATATATATATATATATATATATATATATATATATATATATATATATATATATATATATATATATATATATATATATATATATATATATATATATATATATATATATATATATATATATATATATATATATATATATATATATATATATATATATATATATATATATATATATATATGCCGTTGAGCAATAGCTCGTGGCTAATAAACGCTTCGGGGTCAGAAGTTCGACGCGGTAGATTCCCGGCGTTTCTTGTACACCTGGCTTTCGATGCTGCTCCTCGGATATATATGCTCTCCGGCCAGTACACCTGTTCCTGGCTCTCACACCCATGCTGAAAAGCACTCTTCGTCACACGTACGATTGGATGTATTCCCAACTAGTGAAGGATACGATCAACAGTTGACGCGATGCGGGATGGTGCAAGTGAAGTTGGACGTAGATGGAGAAGAAGGGATGCTGTTGGGATGATCATATGGAATGATTGTGGGTGACTTGGGACTTTGAGAATTGTATTTGTGGATTGAACGTACGAGGCGGCTGATATTGATTTATGAAAATGGGTAAAGTATGACCGTGATCAGTGTCTTATGGTATTATTGTGGTAAAAGGAGTAACATTTCGTATTGTGAATTTATTTTATGTGTCACGGATTTCGAGCTGCGTTCAAATACTTCGCTAGATTTACGAATACATCATCCACGAGAGGGCAAGAAGTGGCGTCGTCTTGTCTTCCTATACCCAGGAGACGTGCGTGCGTGGGATCGGGTAAGGAGGAACGAGTGAGGAAGAGGAAGAATCAGAAAAGAAGAAGAGGAGGAGAAGGAGTGGAAGACGGAAGAGAAGGATATGGGCAAAGGGGGGGGGGGGCAAAAGTGGGATAGACGAGTGAGGAAGCAAAGGAGGAAGGTCAGAAACCGAGATTGTAGGATAAGGACGCACCTGAATCGAATTCTGCCACCGAATCCAAGATGAGGTCCTCCTAGTCTTCTAGGCCTGGTAGCTACGCTCTGAGGAAGATGCTGCGGATGGATCCGATCTGAAAGATAAGACCGACTACACCTGTTGCCCCTTCTCACGGAGTTACAGTATATGGAAGAGATCGGCGATTTTTATTACTGTTAACCGCCCGTGGACAACCCGTAGAATGTCGTACATTTTAACCCGGGAATGCGGTAGCCTGCCAGATTAAATCTACGACGATAACGAACGATCCTCTACTGTTCCTAAAGGACTGGGTCATCCACAGGGCCAATATTCCATGGGATGGATATACGGCATGGACGCTCGTAGACGATCCCCAGGTACCCCCGTGGGATTGAAACGTTTCATGGGAATCGAGGAGAATGATTGCCTTAAAAAAAAGGAAATTATCTCACACGTCCTTCTCATCTGTATATAATAGGCTTTTTATGATACATCGTAGTGTACATGGGAGCATAGAAAATTGTGGATCGGGAACGTCGAAAGGTGTCGATTGGTTGATTTATCAATTAGTCCTGAGATTTCTTAATGAATAAGTTGTTATTATCGAGTTTAGCGACAAGCCAGAGAACTTATTGTTATTGCGTATAACGTAATAGTATTTCGAGATATTCAAGAAGCTAGATACATTATCTGCGCATGCGCAATGCGATTCTAGGCGTGCGCGTAGTTTGTTGTTTGCCGCGCCTAGATTATTTTGTTGCTTGCGTCTCTCCTCTCCCTTCGCGCTTCCCCTCGTGGATTTCTCTCGTTCTCAATCTCTCTTTTACTCTCATGCAACATTATAAGCTCTACTCTCTCCTCTCTCTCTCTCTCTCTCTCTCTCTCTCTCTCTCTTTCTCTTTACCTTCCTTCCTCTCACAGAGCCTCTCTCCTGTCCTCTCCGGACAACCGGTTTACCTTTGATCATTCAATATAAAACACAAGATCGCAGCTACATACCTTATATATGTATATAATATCATATGATCATTATATATATATATATATTAACTCGCACTGCCACTTTGCGTTGCGATTATTTTACGAAACGCACATTTTTTTTAAGATATACTTTACACGCCCGTATTTGAGTATACGAAGCGATTAGAAATTGCAGTTTACACTGATCATTATTTCGCACGCAATACGCGCGTAATATTCTGATATATAAAGCGATACATGCACGGAGTGCACCGGTGCATTCCCAATACTCGGGAATAGCAGGCAGTGCACTTGGACAAAGTGCAGAAGCAGGTGTCTGCAATCACAGCAAATGCACATTCCTCCCGGCCAATTTACTAGCTTTCTCAAACTCGACGATTCGCAACCCGTACGATCGTTTTGCATGGACGACCGATCCTGGAATAGATAATTCCAGCGAGAAGATGCATCTGCATATCCGCATCTGTAACCAGATGGGTAAATTGTTTATGCATTCCACAAGCTCTTTTCATTCATCAGTGCCATAACTTGTGCACTGCTGCTGTACAATTGCGATGCAGGAATGCCGGGTAATAATCGTTGGGACTTTTGTCTTTGTTGATTTCCATGGCAACGTACATACAGGTATAATAATAATAAAGCACGGAGGATACAGAGATCAGAACGAAACTAGTCTTACTCCTTGTTTGTATTGTAACAGCGAACTTATGTAATTGGATATATATTAATGTATGAAAGTGTAATATATTATGACGAGATTCTTTTTCTCTCGCCTGCCGATATGTAATAACAGGGTGTGCGTGGTTTTCAACCAGGGCCGCTCGTCGCTTACATATATTGCGAAGTGAACGGCTTGACAGCTAGCAACGAGTCCAGTTTCCTTTTTTTTTCTCTTCCTTTCTTTCTCTCTCTCTTCCTACGTATGCCATTTCGTACGTTCCTGACTCTGTTTACCTCTACGGGGCAATGGGATTCTTAAATAGTTAATATTCATGAAGGTTGGCTATAAATAATCCCACGCGACAGGAGACAGGCCGTTCTAATAAACATAAGCATATTTATATATACTATGTAAGAGGATAATTATGTTTGGCGGCTGGCGTGCCTACGAGCTGTTTACCATTAATTTTTGACTCCTGTCAATTATATATATTTGTTGCCGCTTATATTGACTCTGTCTTGTTTTGTTCCTCGTTGTGGATTTATTGTTCTTTGATGGGCTGACCTGATTTGTTTACAGTGCATGAAATGCGACCGGAGGACATTGGTATCGTTGGCTCACGTGGCGATGCCGATAGGCAACCCTTCATGGTCGGCTTCTTCAAGAGTTCCGGTATACGTGAAGCTAAGGTGAGACAGAAGCGCGACGCCAGGAGACGGAAGAAGAGCGAGTCATCCAGTTTGGATTATCGCAGTAATCCATACACAGGTATTGAGTCTTGTTATTTGATGATCGATAGCGTTAGGATATCTTACGTGCTGTCATCCGGTTGTATTGTCATTGTTTCTTGCTGTACAGATCCTGCCATCCAGTACAGCTCCAGGACTTGCAAGATTCAGACGCTCTACGTAAGCTTCAAGGATCTCAAGTGGCAGGTAATGAATGTTGGATAGTTTTGGTTGTTTTGTTATTCTACCCAAATTCCATATTCTTCTGTGAGGTGTCATGTCTTTGAGATTATTATATTCAACTAGCTCGTTGCTAATCAAGAAGATCGGTGTATGTCAGACGGGCAGGTTTAATTAATGAATATTTATCTTTCAGGACTGGATTATAGCGCCTGATGGCTACGACGCATATTACTGCAGCGGCGAATGCAACTTCCCATTGAATGCTCATATGAATGCAACTAATCATGCCATCGTACAGACTCTTGTCCATCTTGTCAGTCCAGGCAAAGTTCCCAAGCCTTGTTGCGCTCCTACAAAATTATCAGCGATATCCGTTCTCTACTTCCTCGATGAGAGCAACGTCATTCTTAAGAAGTACAAAAATATGGTCGTGAAGAGTTGTGGCTGTCACTGATTGACGGGCGTTCGAATACGAATGTATTTAAAAAATTTTGAAAATCGAGTTATGGATGTATCTATATGTATAGATACGTGTTATACGTACCTACTAATAGGAGCCTGATGTCCTGAAGATTCGAAAATGTCGGTGCTACACGCAGGGACTTTGAAATTGACGGCATTTTGTTATTGGAAGTACGAATTTCTTGTGCCATTTCTAATTAGACGTATTTAACGTGCGCATTTTTATTCGCCAATCGGGTTTAACACTTTGCGTGTAATATTGGCTGAGGTTATAGTTGTTTTAATGCTTGCGTTATTTTTAACGTTATATCGCCGTCTCCGTCGCCATCTTATCTGGAGACAGGGTTGTCATTAACTGTTATTTAATCGTAGATAATATAAATGAATGATCTATTTAATTTGTAATGGAGGCACGCTAGGAGTAGAATTTACGAAACAGGGTTTACGCGACGATTACAAATACTCCGGGCGAGTAAAGCGCCGGCGACAATAATAACTGATACATCGTCTGTACGAAATTGATAATGGAGGATCTTATCGTATCGTACCGGGACTTATTGAGGATCGTGTATATAATAAGTCATATTCCTATAACATATGAGAAATTTTTGATTCGACTATATTATTTTCGAGGCGCGTTCTTCTCGTTGTCGCAGAGGAGCTCACGCGTTTCAGGCACAAGTATGTTATATCATTATTAGCTAGAGAAACAGTATGAATGCAGCGCGAATGTGGTACTATACAGTTTTGTTAAAATATCAAATTCTATAGTCGGTAGTTAACACTAACGCAACTTTTGTAATGACAGTGTACATATATCCTTGTAAATACGTTGAATAAAGATTGTAACGTGGTAAAACTACTGAATAGTCACAATTAACCCGGTGCAATAATCAATGGTTGCATGATTTTGTTAAGGTATTTATATAATTTTGAAAAAAAGGAAGCCGTTAGGAAACTCACCAGACTTTGTCTCGTATGATAAAACTACAGTAACCGTCAGTCGTGTACTTCAAACATGTCCGACAGATGGCAGCACTAACGTTCTTCTTTGGACCAACGTAACAAGTCATAATGGCGACCGCGAGATGTTGTTTCGAGTGTCTTTTTTTTTACTGAGGTCGACTCGAAATATCGTTGCGGCATCAAGGAACGAGGTATCGCAAGAGCGATTCATCGATTAAACGGCAGCAGCAGCACCACCGAGAAGTACGGATGAACGTTTTCGCGATGGTCGTCGGCGAACCTGCCGTGAACATGAGATATTTGAGAGGCGTAGGTTTTTCACGCTGACGAACGCTACGCTGTATACGCGCATAAAAGGTGATGCTCTAGAAGAATAAAGAATCGTGAAGTATCGTAAGAAGTCGCGAGGACCGTGAAACGGCCGTAATACCGCGACCTGGTGAATCTATATGTCGTTCTCTAGTGCCAAGTGTGATACCTCTGTGCTGTGACGGTATATAGTGCTGCTGATCCTTTTGTGTGCACTCTCTATCTTCTATCTACTATTTTACTTTATGCTACTTTTTGTCAGTCGTAACCGTTGCGATTCTTATGGTTTGGCAGAAATATAAGTTGTCATTTATTAAATCTAAGATGGTAGTTGTCCCTTGATGGTACATGAATAATCGGTGTCGTTCTCTTTCTATTCAAGAAGACTCGTGAGAGGTACGCCCTTTAACGTAGAGAGACTTGCTGTCCGATGTAGTATTTCTGCAGAGATATGGTTTTGTTATAGGATTCTTATTTTATAATTATTCATTCATGTTACTTTTCTGTGGCAGAAACTGCTGTACTTTAATATTTGTAGTTCGATGTCTTCATGACTTTGGCTTTGTTTGGTAGACGTTGAGAATTATTTTCGGTTGATAAGAAAAATGTTGGTCGTTCTTGTCAACTTCTTTAGATAGCTGGTGAGATATTTTCTGAAAACTAGGTGAAAATCGATAGGCAGACCGAATATCGCTTGCAGTGTGTTCCATGTATCGTATCGTGACATGTACTTAAGGCGATGTTGATAAAAATAGTCGCGTTTGAGATTGTTTAAGATTTCGCACGTTTTTTAAACGTTTGAATGTTAAATTGCCAATTCGGTAGGTTGATATATTCGTTACCTTACTTAGACACTTTGGCTACTTTACGTTCTGATAGTAGGAAATATTCTCTTGTCTTTTTTTTGACATTCCATGCATTCCACTTGTTCTCCACATGGTTAATGTCTTTTGGGTTTCGTTTATTTGATTCGATCTTCTTCTGTGAACTGTAGACAATGTCTAATTGCCGTTATACTAGAAAAAAGTGGTAGGAATAGTGGTTCGTTTAATGATTCGTGGTGAAATTCTTTAGGATAACCTCAGTCTAGTCCAGGAATGTGCTTAGTGTATTTTGTTTTTGTCTTGCAATGTAACAAGGCCGTACCTTCTCGCGAATATATATGTCAGACTTCTAACCTGTCGCTCGGTTACGACAAAACAAATAAAGATCTCTTTCAAAACAAACTGTTAAATGTGAAGTAAAAGTGGCAATGCGAGAGCTGTCTAACCTGTCTATTTAATAAATGTCAATAGTTAAACGGTTTTCATTGTACATAGTGATTCTACAGGAATTTCCTTTCTTGAACTGGATTGTGCTTTAGTGTCATTACGAAGAGGATAGTGCTGGAATAGTTTTCTCATCCTTGTAGTCGAGAAGACAACTTTCAAACAATTTTGTGTCAAGTCCTACCATTGCTATGACGAGAAAAAGGACCAGTCTGTATGTATGCTCTTTTCTTCCATTGCGGATGCTGTGATCATTGAATGTGGAATACGATCTCACGTTTCTTCGCCAAGAGCAAGCTAGAGGAGTCAGTGGCTCAGAGCGAGGATACAGAGCCAGAGTCCATCAGCAACAGTGTGCCAGTGCCTGAAGAAGTTGTCCATGTTTTCAACGAGATGGACCGTAACATGGGCGATGATCGACGAAAAGGCGACCAGCAGCTCCATGGTGGTGACTCCGAACATGTATCTGATGGTTTTGATACTCGTCAGGTGAGTTGGACATACAATAGTACTATTATTCTATATATTATACCCATTGGTATGACAAATTTACATACACCTACCAAAATAATATCTATTTTTAAGCAGCATTCCAGCATCTATGCTTTTATACAAGCAGTCTAACATTCCAGTATGCAGCAAAATTATACATAATAGCTATCCCATAATTGTGACCCTGTTATGCAATAGAATCAAAATCTCTCTAACATATATAAAATATATTATTTTATTAGATGAATTTACTAGATTTGCCTCCATAAACGTGATTGTAAACCTGATGAGGTATTAACTGGTATTCCGAAATACAATGTAGCAACACAAAATGTTATCCCATAGCTTAAATCTCAATAAGAAACCTTTATAAATCTTCAAAGCTTATTCTCTTAAGAGCAAGGTCCTGGAAAACAATGTTTTCAAAGTACATCACCTAACTCTTCACGATTCCACTGGCGACTAGTAAAACTTTGATAAATATAGACTCAGCCCTCTCATTCACACGAGTAAGAAGAAGTAAAGTACACACACGACCTAGAGTTATTCCGGAAGTGTGAGGTTATGATGAATATGGTATTCATTTCCTGTACACAAGGTCATTTATTATCCATATAAGCAAGGCATTTGGTACTGCCTAGAAATACCAAATCACTGATAGACCAACGAACCCGCAAGACGTTTGACAAACCCCTTTCCAAGATTTAGAAATTAAATATAAAATATTACCAAGCCTCAATTAAATGTCCTATTTTTTAATTGTTTCTAGCATGCAAATATGAAGTTAGGAATTAATAAAATGAGTAACAAGAGGACATTCAACTTGCTCTTTAGAGTGAGAATAGGAGAAGTACTAGTGCATAATACTTTTGATTTTCATTTAAGCTTTATAAAATTCTTATCAATATTCAGAATCGATTCACCGTCTGATTTTCCACTAGCGAGAAAGACCGGCGTGGAAGTCAAGTGGCCCACTTCTCTTTGGAAAGTCGTGCGGTCGGTATTTATCGAAATTTCCGCATATCCCACGTAATTGACAGTCTCTCCTCTCTAGAGTATGCATCTGGACATATGTATTTATACCACACATAGCGTGGTCACTACGTACATACATTGATTGCAATAAATAATCAATAGGCAGCCGACCCCATTATCGACATTCACTTCTGGCAAATATCCAAAGCTGAGCCGAAACGGCTGGAGACTTTCAGCCATTCTTTCAAGTGTTGTTAAAGAAGCACAGTCGTCTTATTTTAAAAAGAATATCACCCTTTTTTTTTGTCTTCCTCGCAGACTGAAGAACTGATGGTGCCAAATGGCAATTACGTTTTTCATTTTCACTTTTTTCTTCTACTCTTTCTTCCATTCATTCTATCATCCTTGGCGCCTACAGTCAGTCAGCTCAAGACAATTGTTCATTAACGAGATCTTAATCTGAAAGATAATTGAAAACTGTTTTACAGTTCTAAGTCGATAACATAATTCACACATACATATATATATAGTGCAATGAATCGATCCTCGCTCACGTGCCAAAGGATTTTGCGAAATTTGTTTCAACGAATTTCTCGAATTGCTTTGTTCTTTTTTCTGCGGTCGATATCGAAATTTGATAAAATACGAGAAGCAGATGTTCGCGTTATTGTGGCATTAATCTGAACATTAATGATCACTTGGGGTCTTATCAGTGTCATCCCGCCTGTATATAAGTATTATGAAAACACATAATCTTTGAATATTTTTTCTTATAACAGCCAACCACCTTACTTATTCCATTCAGGGAATATTATACTGGACTTCCGTAAATGTCTTGGATAATCGTTCAATAGAGTACCATATCAAAAAAGTGTCGATTGTTACATGAATATTTTCTGCAATGCGATATCCATTTTAAGCTAAAACTCGGTACCCAGCACATACCAAGTGCACCATAGGCCTTAGACCATTTCATAGAAAATATAAGGTTCTGATGGATATTCAGATTCTTACTGTACACCCTGTAGAGATCTGAGACCAGATCTCAGACGTCCTTGCTAGTCGATCGTTTATACCGATCAATGTAGCGTAAACTGATGCGGATACGCGATATATGTTGTTGCCATGTTATACTTTAAGGTTAGACTAGGCTGTATGTTCAAAACATCGTTCTACGAGACACCACTAAGTCCAACTGCATAACTGGGCTTACATGGAAATTAACAATTCTTGGTAACATTGATTATATTTTATTGGTCGTCGTTAGTTCTTACCTTTAATATCAGGTACGATGCTTATAAATAATTGCAGCCACTTCCGGGAAGAGCAAATGACCCAGAAAATCCTAATACGGTGGTTCGGTCCTCGAGTCTCCATAAGGCGCCATGTTTATTTTTTTCTGCCTCTCGGGCACCTATAAGGTTAGATTGCTCGGATTTGTCGAGACAGGAAAACTACAGTGCTTCACTGACTCTTAGACGTTTCCTTTTCTGTGGCTGTTAGTATTCTCGACTCTTGCAGTGACACGTAAGCCTATTGACGACTTCTTGTATTGCTATAAACTCGCCGCTTACATTGTACGTCTACGTGCGCACCTCGAAACGGCGTGTAGCCATTTTGAAGTTTGAAAGCGGCACGGCGTCGTCCGCTTGCGAAATACTTACACGATGTTTACATCGCGCGATACAATTTATGTCCGTCATATTTTTGCTGGGATTACTGCGACAAAGACTCGTAGTAACCCTGAACACTCATTGCTACTATACGTTGCTTCACGATGATTCATCATTGGCACGACTTGTCATTGTGTCAAAGTTTTCGTCCTGCGTATTATTCGTTATCAGAGATTGGCAGCATTGCCTCGGTTATTGAAGGCTGGTTTACGTCCGTTCGTATTTTCTGCATAGGTTCATTCGTTCGGATGGCAATGACTCGATATTAAGGTTGGTTCACACGCATCTTACGTTGCTTCCTTACCTCGAACAGATATTCATCGTGCATCGTCATTACCATCAAAGGGATAGTCAAACTGGTTGCGCAATCTCTTGTGTCTGTTGTGACATCTTGACGCGCGTTTGAATTACCACGTGCGCACGTGAACCCGGCGTCTTATGGCCGAGTTTGGGATCGTGACGCGAAGCTCTGACACCGTTGCTCTGCGCGCCAAGTCTTATTGAGACGTTCAGGACGATGGAACCGGCGGGCCCCAATTTTTTTTCGTATCGTTCGGGACGGCTGGTCTCCGGTGCCATTGTGAAATAGTTCTTGGCTACTTCGTCGTAGGTTGTTGTCTAGAGCGAGACAGATGGACGTGATACGGATAGATAGGGAGTGACAGATAGTCATAGAGTTATAAATATGTAATTTCGTGTGGGTTTCTCAGCGAAAGTGAGAATCTAGTTTTACCGACGGTGCTGCCACAGCTTCATTTTTCTCTCACGGAGGCGGCAACTCGATTCTACTTTGCGACTTCTTACGAATACGCATTCAATTGTCAGACACGCTGCATGCAAGCACCATACACTTTATCCACACAGGCTGTTATGTCCTGAGAAATTGTTATCTCGCCCCCCGAACCCTCGCTCCTCTTGGCTTTTATTACTACTGTCGCTGCGATGGGACTACGTGAGGTTATGTTACGTAAATTGAGTACGATGATGATGCGATTATGCAAAACCGTTTATTTTTTGTTTATTCGATAACTTTACTTTCTCTTAGCATTTTGTACGTTCTCGGACGAATCGGGTTAAACGTTTGTTTTATGAGAAACTTTGACTGGCGATCGCTGCCATGTGCTGTTGATTCAGAGAAAGTGACCTCTGTTAGCCGTGCGGCTATTGTAGTGACTGCCGCTCATTGCGGGTCCGGGAAGTTAGCCCCCCATAATTCGAAAATTCCGATTTCGTTGTTTGTTCTGAGTTGTTCTACGTTTGTTTTATATTGTTCAAGAAAAACAAGTTTCTCAATTGAAATTTGTAGCGGTGATGCGCAAAAAACAGTTTCTTACCGGAACCCCCCATTTACGGAAAATCAAAGTTTTTTTTGTTGCTCCAGCTTGTTCTAGATTGTTCCAGGTTGTTCTTGGCTTTTCCGGGTTGTTTCAGGTTGATCAGGTAGGACAGACAAGTAAAACCAGGGAAACACTGGAAAAGCTGAGGAGAACGAACGCTCTGAGAATAGCATTTGGATATAGGAACATTTCGGACGATTTCTAGGTTATTCCAGGTTGTTCCTGCTTGTTCTAGGTTCTCCTAGGTTTCTTACAGGTTTTCCTAGGTTTTCGTAGGGTTTTGTAGGTATTCGTAGGTTGCTTCAGGTTGTTCCAGGTTGATCAGGTAGGACAGACAAGTAAAACCAGGGAAACACTGGAAAAGCTGAGGAGAACGAACGCTCTGAGAATAGCATTTGGATATAGGAACATTTCGGACGATTTCTAGGTTATTCCAGGTTGTTCCTGCTTGTTCTAGGTTCTCCTAGGTTTCTTACAGGTTTTCCTAGGTTTTCGTAGGGTTTTGTAGGTATTCGTAGGTTGCTTCAGGTTGTTCCAGGTTGATCAGGTAGGACAGATACGTAAAACCAGGGAACACTGGAAAAGCTGAGGAGGACGAACGCTCTCAGAATAGCATGCGGATATAGGACCATTTCAAACGATTTCCAGGTTATTCCAGCATGTTCTAGATTGTTCCACGATGTTCCGGGATGTTCCACGACCTCCCACGATCGGGTACGACAGTCATATAAAACCAGGGAAACACTGCAAAAGCTGAGGAGGACGAAACGCTGTCGGAATAGCATGTGGATATAGGACCATTTCGAACGATTTCCAGGTTGTTCCTGCTTGTTCTAGGTTCTCCTAGGTTTTTTTAGGTTTTTCTAGGTTTTTCTAGGTTGTTTTAGGTTTTTCTAGGTTTTCCTAGGTTCTGGGTCTATCGATGATTGTTCTAGATTTGTATAGCGATCGGATAATAGCAACTAACTTAGAACAATGTGAACAAGATTCGAAATCGGAACTATACAATGTA